ATAAACGCATGATATTAATAAATCAGTAATTGTATATAAATAATCAATTAATAGTAGGTGACTGAAACTAATTTAAAAACCAGAAATGTGATCATTTGGAATATTTAGGAAATTTTTCTTTCATGGCCATTTTCAGAAAGTTTGAATATTGAAAAAAAAGTCAAAAACAAACAACGAATAAGCGAAATGAAAAAAATAATTTACATTACAACACAGCATATAATCCCAAGACTACGTTATAAAAAAAATTATCATAAAATAAAAAAATATAATGAACACACTAACAACTAAGCTAAAGACTAAACTTTAGTAATTAGTTACTAATGGTCTTTCAGAAAAACTGTTTCTTCTATAATAAAAAATTAAAGTACTTTTTTTCACTAAAGAAAGACTTAAAACTTAAAAGAGTCTTAAAAAATTTTAATAAAAAAATAAAAATCAAACTTATTTAGTTAATGATCGGCCATAATCAAATAATTAAATCACAAATTAGCTAGTTAGCAAGTAGGAAATGAGTGAAAACCTAAAAATATGATGCGAAAAATTAAGAAAACCACTACTAACACTTAGGAGGTCTATTAGCATTGATTAGCGATTAGATTAGCCTCTTGGGGTAGAAATCAGAACAGCTAAGAACTAAGTTAAGTAAAGATTCTACGCTAAAAAGCATCAAATAAGATAAGCAAAATATTAATAATAACAACAGTGGAAATATTTATAATAATAATAAATATTATTTTGAATATAATTATACCATTATAGCAGAATATAAAAATTTGAACGCATAAGGTCGAAACAGCGGAAATAATGATGGGATTTCCAATTTCCAAAGTTTTCGCTGAAAGATCTAAAGGTTACATTAAAATAACTTCGTATTTTATACTGCGTTTTATACTAAGTATTATTTATATTTATATATTATAACTTTCATATTTATTTGATAAATATTGAATAAACGAATTATTGGTTTACAGAGTTTTTACATTTTACAGAATTTATGGGTGCTAAATACAGTAGTTATCATGTTTTTATGTTACATGTAATTGAAAGATAGATGCTTTATTGGTATAAATTATCATTTTGAATACTTTTATTTGTTAGTTTTAAATATTTTACCTTCATAAATCAATATCCCTTTAATGACGGTTAAGAATTTTTAATCATGATACATCATGATGCATACAACAACAAATACATACAACACACACATACAACAACGAACGAACGAACAAACACACGCAAACATTTCACATTTTTATTGCAATTTAGGTTTTCAAATTTTCTAATCAGGTACAACGTTACATGTTGCCACAATAAAAGGTATATTCAACCTGTCAGTATCATGTTTTTTTGATTTGATTTGTGTTTGTAGATGGTTCTTTTTGGCAGACAGTAGGTTGCCATTACTTGCTGTCAACTTTTCCACTCCTGCATGAAATCGAGTGGTGGTATCACCTCTCAATGAATTTCAAGAATGCCATTTGGTTGGGGAAATGATTAACAGAACAATTAATTAATTAACTAATTAAAAATAAATAACAAAACGATAAAAAAAACTAGTTTATGGATATAAGATGTTTCGAATTATGCATTCATACTGTCAAAATTATGGCATAATCGTTATTGAAATTGAACTTTCCTACAAAAAACAAAAAAAAACAAAAAAAAAACAAAAAACAGAAAATAAAAAGCATAGATGAAAAGTATTTGGGTTTTGTCACTGTTGTCATTGTTATTAAGACTATAGTAGCAAAAATTAAAATGAAATTAAAAAGTTCTAGGTTTGGATTTAGTAGATCTCGAACTGCTACTCTTCGACTCTCTCCACGTAAATCTGGCCTTGAAAGTTTCCCTAAATTTGCTCCCTGTTATGTAATAAACGAAAAAATTGACGGAATCGTTTAAATAGAAGAGGAGCATCGATGCTACGAAGAATAACTCCATTCTGCCAGCAAACTCCGGACTGTCATACAACCGGAACAAGCCGTCAACGACTGCGAAGTATATCCCACTGGGCAGAGTCAGTAGCAAGTGTACAAAACTCAGTCCCAGTAGCATTAACGTCGCTGAAGATGGATTCGAAGCCGGGTTCTTCTCCTCGTTGCTCAATCTTCTGCCAAATTTGTGACATGCTCCAACGTTTTCTGTGCTGCTGTTGTTGTTGTTGTAACGATTATTTTTATTCACCGCGTTCGTTTGGAAATTTGAGGCGCGCTTTCGAAAACCATTCGCGCGAAATATGGCGACCAAAATGGCGGTGTTTCCGGAGAAGAGCACGACGAACGGGATGACGGTTAGTAAAAGTATGTCGATTTGGGGCCAGACGTAGTTGTAGAAATAATCGAACCTAGGTTTCACGTAGCAAATTTTTGATTCTATAATTTCTGCCGGTTTATCTGAAGAGTCTGTCGCTGATGGGTGCTGCGGTCTCACTTCCCCTATGTACGTCAGGTTCTGTGGTTGTGTGGGTGATGAATTTTCAAGGTTGGTTTAATTAATTTTTCTAATTATTTTCACAGTTTTATTCATTAAATTTTCAAATGTTTCAACTATTATTTGAAATGATATCACTTATAAGTATGACTTTAGTAAAGTTTATTTTCAAATTAAAATCGGCAAACCTCATAATCCACCGGGTTTTCCTTCAAATAATCGTAATCGAATGCGAGTAAGAGAAAGAAATTGATGCAAACGAGCGTGAGAGTCATGATCGACCAGACGATCTTAATCCTCTTCTTCGAGCAGACAGCCCTGGCCACGAAAGGGAACCAAACAATGAAAACTCTCTCCAGAACAATCAACGAGAGTGTCCAACTCGCCATATGCCCCAAAAAGTACGTCCCGAATATGCCGACCTGGCAGAAGCCCTGTGCACTTCTTATATCTACCTGGCTCGGTGTGACGTACAACAACCACTGCCTGAAACATCCGCAGATCAGTAGGATGATGTAGATGCAAGAAAGAGCGGTCAAACTAAATGATATCGAACTCTTCCTGAAGGAGGCACACCTGAGGACGATGATGCTCATGATGTTGAATATGAGGCCGAGTACAAAAATGATGCCGAAACCGAATACCGCCATCCATTTGGTGCTTCCTAGCGTTACTTCGGTAGGTGGAACTACTGTTTGGAATGTAGATGACGTCATATTTGTTGGTGTCACGTTCGCTGATGACGGTGATGTCATATTTGTTGTTGTTATAAATGACGCTGACATCATTATAATGATTGACGTTGTTGTCATCCTTGCTGTTGCAAAAAGCCTTTTACTGTTCACATCTCCCGTTTAGCACGGGAGAAAAATGATATAATGTTGTTATTATTGTTACTGATGTTTGTTTCGCTTATAAGTAGTAGCAGCCACTGTAGTAGTTGTAATTGTAGCAGCAGTAGTAGTTGTAGTAGCAGCAGCAGTAGTAGTTGTAGCAGCAGTGGTAGTAGTGGAAGCAATATTATAAAAGCACTAGAAACGTTAATAAATTGAATTTTAGAAAGAATGGTTTAAAAAAAAACTCATCCCAAATTTTTATAACAAGTAGAGAAACAGATTTTTCTATGTGCATCTAATGTGAGATGATGATGATGATGGAGAGTATATGTTTTTGTTTGTATGTATTTTGTGTATGTTTGCATGTATTTTGTGTATGTTTGTATGTATTTGGTGTATGTTTGTATGTATGTTTGTATGTATTTTGTGTATTTATTTGTATGTATTTTGTGTATGTTTGTATATTGTGTATGTTTGCATGTATTTTGTGTATGTTTGTATGTATGCCTACACGTATATACCTTCATTTGCATATAAGCACAAAAAGCAGTAAAATGTAAACAGTTTCAAAATATGTTTTGCATCCAACACAACAAATTCGCAACAGACTTTCTTAAGATGCTAGGAGATTAAAGTATTTATGTATGTTTCTTTGTATTTATATATGTATGTACGTATGTATGTATGTATGAACCCGTTTTGATGAACAAGCCATGGTTAGGCATGCAATCGTTTCCGAGTTCAACTTTTATCTATGTCCCTGGTCTCGCACAGTCAGGTATCTAGCAGCTCCATCCAGAATGCAAAAGGAATTGAATTTTTGTAATAAAAGTATGGTGTGTGCGTGTGTGCGTGTGTGTGTGTGTGTGTAGTGTGTGTGTGTGTGTAGTGTGTGTGTAAAACATCAAGTAACACATAGATTACCACTTTGATCTGTCGATAGTTGGACAGGTAGGCACGGGTAGGCATTCAGTTGTTGAATAGTCTCCATCACACAGACACGCAGGAGCCGCTGGAACAAGCAGGAAATGTGATTCGTTGAAAAAAACAGTTTTCTGTAGTCACCTGATCTAACACTAATAAACTCACATATTGTCTTTAGGAATTTAAAAGTGTCGGGGTCCATAGGGCCGAGAACCTGGATGCATATCGGCAAAAATTCCATCGAGGGGTGACATTTTGTATTGTTTTATTTTCTCATCCGCGGCCAAACCACATTCCTTACATGTGAGATTTACGTAGCGTTGTTGTATGCATGTATGAATTATTATTATTAGAGAATTTATATTATAGCGCTCTTTAAAACTTCTCAAAGGCGCTGCTCAAGTCATGTAGTTTAATTCATAAAAGGATGAGTTTTTAGTTCTTTACAGAATTGTCAAAGAGTTAGCCCAGGCTGACAAAGGTGGCCTGGTAAATCATTCCAAACTGTTGGACCAGCGACGGAAGAATTCCTGTTTTCTACAAGCAATTGTGTTGTGGGTACCGATGGAAGATCCTGACAATCTGAAGGTAACTGAAGAAGTTGTTCAGGTGTGAACCCATGCAAACACTCGTCAGACAGGCAACTCGGACTGAGACTATTCAAATATTTGAATACCAAGATGGCAATTTTGAATTTGATTTCTTGCCTAACAGTCAGCCACTGCAAGTTCAATAGACTATGAGTCACACGGTTAAACTTTAATCTCCCAGTAACTGTTTTAGCTGCTCGATTTTGAATTGACTGTAGTTGGCATATGATTTTGTTGGAAGTTCCATAGAAAGCACAATTACAGTAGTCATGCTTAGATTGAATAAACGCATGAACTAGACATTTTAATATTCCTCATTAAGCGAGTTTCTGATCTGTCTGAACCTTTGTAGTTGAAATGAACATTTCTTGTTCAGTTTTTTGACGTGACGATCCATAGACATATTTTGATCGAACGTGATTCCAAGATTATTGACAGCTGAACAAAACTGGATAACTGATCCAAATATGTCGATAGAGCTGGCACGAATCATTTGCAATTATTGCCAGATTCCGACAAACAGAAGCTGAGTTTTACTCATTTTAGCTTAAGTCTGTTGCTTATCATCCATTAATTTAAATCTTTAACACAGCAGACAAATCTGTGAACTAAATTATCAAATGTCGCTGTTTTACAACAAATTTTGACCTCAGACTTTTCGATGGTATTAAATGTATGTGTGAGTGTGTATATGTATGGATGAATGTACCTATATATGTGTTTGTATGAATCTGTTTTTGTACGTATTTGTCCATATGTGTTTGTACTTTTTGTATATATAAAAATGCAAATAGGTGTAGAAAGAAAAGCATACAAACAAACATACAAACAAACAAATAAACATACATACACACATACAAACAAACATACAAACAAAGTAGATGTATGAATGGATACAAAGTTATTTTTCCAAACGTAACGCACGCAATTAACATTGTTTATCTGACACTTTCCTCTGTATAATTACAAAAATGCTTCTGGTTCTGTTTCTCCTGTTCCGACATCTATGTTTAGATCATCATCACCATCATCATCATCATCCTCACCATCATCAGCGTCGTCATCATCATCTTCGTCGTCACCATCATCTTGCATATCTTGAATTTTTTGCGCGGTTGGTGTAACTGTAATAAATTAAAAATTATCTATTTTTAACTTTTCATTTTTACTATTACATTCTCTCTCTCTCTCTCTCTCTCTCTCTCTCTCTCTCTCTCTCTCTTTCACTATCTCTTTCTCTCTCTTTCTTTCTTTTTTATTGTTTTTTACCTTTTTAAACCAGTTTTTTGTAACAATCGATATATGGCATTAATATCATAGAACCGGTTTTTAACTTATATATATGTTGTATGTATGTATTGTATATGTTTGTTTATTGCAAAACAATGTTTCAGAATAATGAACGTTTAAGCCTAGTACAATGATCAATAGTTTTGTGTGTTTGTATGTATGTATGTATGTATGCTTGTTTGTTTGTTTGTTTGTTTGTATGTATGTATGTGTGTGTGTGTGTTTGTATGTGTGAGCGTGGTATTTTTGCTTGCTTGATTGATTGATTGTTGGTAATCGTTTGTTTAATATTGAATGTATGTGTGTTTGTATGTGTGTGTGTGTTTGTATGTGTGTGTGTGTTTGTATGTGTGTGTGTGTGTGTGTGTGTTTGTATGTGTGTGTGTGTTTGTATGTGTGTGTGTGTGTGTTTGTATGTGTGTATAGTTTTTCAATATACTAATTTTCTAATTAACAAACTTCTAGTTATACATCATCCTTACGTGATTTTTGTAATGTTGATTTGTATTCATTCATTCGGTACGTAAGACTCAAAGTTTAATGTTATCAGATATCATCATTTTGTCGCTATATATCAACATTTCTGTCCATCAAATGTTACTATTTGAAATACAAATTAATTATTTCGAAATTATTTAAAGTAATAATTAATTATTTCTCAATAATAACTCTATATGGATTTACTTGATAAGGCGCTGGCAAAGGTTGGGGGTTACAAACGCGTTCAGATTGTACTAACTGTCATCGTGTCCCTTGGTGTTTACACCACCTGTACCTTCCACCCACTCGCTATTGTATTCATCGGTGAGTTATTTATAAACTTATTATTATTATTAATTATAACTAATAATTATTATTATTATTTATTATTTCTGAAGGATGGGAGCCAAGTCATGTGTGTAAAGATTTATCGAGTTTGGACAATTCTGAAAGGGAAATATTTTCTCAAGATAATATTCACTCATTTTTCGAAGATTTGAATTATAATAAAACCATATTTACGAATAATTTCTCAATAGTATTAAATAAGAGTAATAATATAGATAATTATAGAAATTTTAAATGTTCGTATTTTACTCAAAAATTCTTTTCAAATTTTTCCGACTCGGTTGAAAATATATCGGAATTGATAGAAGTGAAATGTAAAACTGGATGGCTCTACAACAACCATGGCTACCTAACAGCCGTGGAAGAAGTACTTTCACTACATTCTAACTATTTTAATATTATTCAGTTATAATAAACCGCCATTCATTTCCACGCAGTTTAATTATGACAAAATAATTTAATTTCAATCCTTAGTGGAACCTGGTATGCGATAGGAACTACTACACGGATTTATCCCAGATATTATTTCAGTTTGGATCTCTAATTGGAGAGTGCACACTCTCATTTTTGATTGATAGATACGGAAGGAGAACATCCCATGTTATATCACACGCCATCGTCTGCCTGCTAGGATTGATCCTAAGTTCTTCATACAACTTTCATGTCTTCCTAGTCCTTCGCATGTTAATGGGCGTTGTTAACCCGGCTAGTTTGGCTATAAACATACAGATTTATATACATACATACATGCATACATACATGCAAACAGTCGCTAATGTATGCAAAATACATACAGTTGCATGTATGTATGCACCATACATACTTGTATGCATACATACGCACATTTACATCCATTCTAATCATTAAACTATCATTTGTATTTATTGAATATTTGTCTGTAAAAAAAATCTCGGTATAGTACAAATCTCACACTTAATAAAGCAAGCATATCAAATCAAGCAAATTCATAATTTGTTCGTCATGCCTATATGCTATATCCACATAATATGATATGATTAATAATTCATATTTAGGATTCGTAATTCATATTTAGGATTCGTAATTCATATTTAGATTCGTAATTCATATTTAGGATGCATAATTTCAGATGAATTCGACATCTGGTTTCATGTACATAATAGAGTTGTTCGACTCTCAGCACAGGACCTTGCCGGCCATGGCTTCTCAACTATTAGTTGTTCCTATGACATTGCTGCTGGGGCTTGCAGCTTATTACGTCACGAACTGGAGGTTTAAGATTATAATAACTTATAATTAGTAGTAATATTTATTAGTATAATAACTTTAGATGAATAATAAGCACTTTTATTATTATGTTGTAAAAAAAACAAATGGAATAGTATTAAATTAGTATTAGATTAGTATTACCTATATCGTTACTACTATAGATATATTGCTACTACACTTGCTACTGCAGATAGTGATGCTACTTTTACTACTACTTCTATTGCTACTATTGCTACTACTACTTCACTAATGATATTATTATATGTTAGTAATGTTAGTACTGTACTATTACCACAAATTGCAATAACTCCACTTTTTTTTTAATTCAGGTATTTTCAAATCAGCATCTCGTTAGCGTCTGGGTTTATGGCTATTGTCTGCTTGTAAGAAATTGAGAAGACAATTTGTATAATTTCATAATTTCATAATACTATTAGAGATGCACCGATTAGTGAATTCGGCCAAATATCCCAATAACTGGCCCACTAAGACCCAAAAAATTCATAATTTTGAGTAAAAATTTTAAATGTTTGAATAAAAAACAAGTTATTGGGAAAATTAAATTCTTTTCATTCCAATTCCTTATCGAGGTTATTTTCAATCTCTCGTTCAAATTCAGGTCTTTCAACAGCTATGACGTCCAAAATGAGTTTTCTGCTAATATTAATCATCAATTATTTTTCTGGATTCGAATAAAAAGGTTGAATTAAACAGAAATTTCGTTATTCGGCTATTCTGTCTTTAAAACTAGCCAAAGCCGAAGCCAAATGTAAAATTTTGGCTGAATATTTGAATATTTGGCCGAGTGGAACACCTAGTGCGTCTCTAAATTTTATGATTTCACAATTTTCAAAATTTTTAGTTTCATACCAGAATCAGCCGCTTGGCTAGCAATTAGAGGTGATATTTTTAATTATTCTTTCAACTATTTGTTCACTCATTTGTTCATTTAACAAATCGTTCATTCACTCATTCATTCATTCATTCATTCGTTCATTCAACATCTGGGTACACGCCATATTGCTTCTTAAGTCTTCTTTTTAAAGTTTTACTCTATCACGTCAGTAATTTTGATTATTATTATTTTGTGATTCTGTTTATTTAATTATTTTCGAATAGGGCAGGTTAAAAAGGCAGACACAATAATGAGGAAGATGGCTAAGTGGAATGGAATAGAGGTATAATTGTTCATACATTCATTCATTCATTCATTTATTCATTCATTCATTCATTCATTTTTAATACTTCTAAATAATGGACTACAGTTAACACCACAAATCAAATTACTGAGAAGGATAAGCGTTAACGTATCGTACGATACAATCATCAACGACATCATCATCGTCGATAACGATACTACTACTACTGCTGCTGCTACTGCTACTGCTGCTGCTGCTACTACTACTACTAATACTACAAACAGCGCTATTGTTACACTAGTGAACGATCTAACTCATCATAAAGATGAAGTAGGTTCATGCTAATTTATCCGCTTTAGATCACTTCACTATCATGTTGTCATTTTTTCCTTAATTTTCTTCCTAAATTTAGCTTACGGCATTTCCCTCAACATCACCGAATGCATCTAGATTGAGTATTTCGAATTGGAAGCCAAAACTAAGCATTTCAAGTCTATCTCCCAGTGTTTCTCCTTCGAAAAGAAGCCGACTCTCCTCCATCTTTGAGGATAAGATTAAAAATATAATTCTGCCTAACTTTAAGGATTTGTTCCTGGACCTCGTTCTTTTGAAATTTTTAATGGTCTCAAGTTTGTTATGGTTAGTGACAGGGTTTTAGTAATATTTATACGTGTTCGTATTAAGTAGTAGAACTTGTTGTAGAAGTAGTAATATTGGTAGCATTTGTAGTAGTAGCAGCAGCTGTATTAGTATATGCTTTAAATTCAAAGGCAACTACATAATTAATTATTATATTAATATGTTTTTCGCACTAGCATCAGGCATAAACGCATTCTACAGACTGTAAAATTAAGCTTTGCAGACCCAATCTAAAAAATTAACTTGATTCATTTCAATTTTTAGACCATTAAGTGCTTCCGTACGCTCCTCCATTGTGAGGTCAAGGTCATTTCAGTTCTCACTTCATTCCATCATCATTTCGACCTACCCCAGGTTCTCTACAACATTCGTCTTTTCCGGACTCATGCTTTCGTCGGCCAGATTAGGCAGTGAAAGATTTCTAAGTTTCACAATCATGGCGCTGCTTCAAATTCCCGCCATTTTAAACTGCACCTATTTCACTAACAGGTCGTAATTGTAGTAATTGTAGTAGTAGTAGTAGTAGTAGTTGTTGTTGTTGTTGTTGTTGTTGTTGTTGTTGTAGTTGTTGTTGTAATTTTAGTTCTATTAATTTGTAACAACTGTCTGTTAAACCGTTGAGTCAAATGATCAGTTGTTTATTCAATTACTAATCCATTCATTTGTTTGTTCAATCAGACAATCAATTAAAAAATCATTCAATCCTTCAATCACTCATCCAATCAACCGCTTGAAAATACCTCTCCAAGATTTGGCAGACGTATCTTCGCCTTCTCCACTCAACTGTTTTGCGGGATTTTCATTGGGGTAGTCGTCATTACACCTGCAAAGATCAGTCTGTAATTATTTTTAGAACATTTCATTATTATAAATAATTGTTATACTACTACTTCTGTTAGATTTAATAATTCTTGCCTATCTTGGTTTTCTTCTTTTCTCTCTAATCGTTTTTCTTCTATACTTTTTAATAATTCTACTTCTAACTCCTCAGGGTTCTTTCCTTTCATTAAGGAGCGTTGTTGAACATCGCGGAAATAATGCTTTATAAACTTATTGATTGATCTATTGATTGATTGATTGATTGATTGATTGATTGATTGATTGATTGATTGATTGATTGATTGATTGATTGATTGATTGATTGATTGATTGATTGATTGATTGATTGATTGATTGATTGATTGATTGATTGATTGATTGATTGATTGATTGATTGATTGATTGATTGATTGATTGATTGATTGATTGATTGATTGATTGATTGATTGATTGATTGATTGATTGATTGATTGATTGATTGATTGATTGATTGATTGATTGATTGATTGATACCACTTCTACTGCTGCTACTACTACTTCTTATTCTACTACTACTACTACAAATACAACTGCTATTACTTTCAGATGATTTCGAAACGAAACCGATAAAGTTGGTGCTAACATTCGCGTCTTACTGTTTCATTGCTTCTGCCTTCAGAACTGTCCTCTTCTATTCTAAAGAACTTTTTCCAACTTCACTTAGGTAATAATAATAATAATTAATAATAATAACATGAATAATAATAATTATTATTATTATTACTAAATAATTGAAATAATTGTTTTGTCTTTAGAGGCACAAGTAGCGGTGTTTGTCAAATTTGGGGACGAGTTGGCGCCATCTTGGGTCCATTCGCAGCCTATTTGGTAGAGAATAACAATAACAATTATAACAATCTAAACAATAATAACAACAATAACATTAATAAATATTATTTTATAATTATTATAGTTGAAGACAGATAAATATTGGCTGCCCAATGTATGTTACTGCATCGTTTGCATTTCGACGAGCTTTCTTGTTCTACTTTTGCCTGAAACGATGGGTTATTATTATTATTATTATATTATTATTATATTATTATTGTTTTATTATTGTTAATATTTTATTGTTGTTGTTGTTGTTTTAGTATTTTTTTAAATTTTTTCTTAGGCCTACCCTTGCCACAAACTGTCAAAGATTGTCACGATATGTATAAAAAGAAGAAAGATACTACTACTACTGCTGCTACTACTACTACTACTACAGCTGCTGCTTCTACTACTACTAATAATAATAATAATAACCTTAATAATAGTAATATTAATAATGATAAAACCAACAGTCAGATAATGTAACATGTACGTACACTGCATTCTCAAATGTTGACTGTACGTTTTCATTCTCAATTCGGCTTTCAATTATGTTTTAGTTTTATACAGTGTTCGGTAGAATTATTATTAATATCTTTTTTAAATTAAGTTACAATCAAATTCGTGGCTAAAAAATCATAACATGTTTTTCTTTTTGTCGTTGTTTCAGAAACTGTCCATTGGAATGAATTAATGAGCACCTAGTATTTTGTGTGCTTCGGTTATAAAATGTGGTTGCTCCAATTATTTTCTTAGTAAAGGTTGCAAGGAACGACTTTACTTTAAGCAAATGTCTTTGCTGAATCGTTTAATTAAATGTGAACATTCAAATAACAAAAATATAAAATTGCGTTAAATTTGGGTTCATAAAAACTACGGTCTCTTGACATTTGTTTTATCTGTTATCATATGAAAAAATTCTTATTTTATTATAAAATATATTTCTTTCAATAATACTCATGTATTAAGCCTAATTTTAAAATTTTAAATGAAATTAGACAAAAAATTCATGTATTATCGTCAAAATTAATATTTTTCAGCCACTTTCTCCTCAATTTTCTTCTTCTCCTTCCCCCTCTGGTCCATAATGTGGCAGTCGTTGACTGTTTGTGGTAATGGCAAGCCTGCGTAAAATTAAGTTGCGAGATGAATGAATAAAATGATTGACTGAATGATTGATTGAATAAAAAACGAACAAATGAACGAACTTACGTAAGAACGAACGAACGAACGAACGAATTCAACCATAAATAACCAACGTACAACAATTGTCGTAATAATAATAATATTATTATTATTAATAATTATAATAATAATGATTAATAATAATAATAATAATTATTATTATTATATTATAAATAATAAAATAATAAATAATAATAATAAAATAATAATAATAACCTTTTGTTTCAGGTAAGAGTAGGACGAGGAAACTTGTTGAAATGCAAATGATGCAGTAGCACACGTTGGGCAGCCAGTATTTATCCGTCTTTAACTGTGGTTTCACACCATAATCATTATAAATTATGTTTAGCAATACCACTAATATTAGTAGTAAAACATTTTTATGAATGAATGAATGAATGAATGAATGGATGAATGAATGAATAAATGGATGGATGAATGAATGAATGAATGAATGAATGAATGAATAAATGAATGAATGAACGAATGAATGAATGACGAAATAGATAAATGGATGGACGAATGAATCAATGAACATCATAATCGATGCAAATAATATTTAATCATTATAAATAAAATAATAAAATATTTATCGAATAATTTCTTTAATTCTCACCAAATAGGCCGCAAAACAGCCTGAAATGCCGCCCAAACGACCAAAAACCTGGCATATACCGCTGCTTGTCCCCCTTTGAATTTGTATAACAACGACAATAAAAAGAAGAAGAAGAAGAAAAGGAGAAGAAGAAGAAGAAAATAACAATAATAATAATAAACCTGAGGTTGGTGGGGAAGAGCTCCTTGCAATAGAACAATATGGTGCTGTAGGAAGCATTCAGAAAACAAAATGCCGCGAATATTATTATCAAGTTTATCACATGCGTGTCGAATCCATCTGAGTTATTATTATTATTTTTGTTTATTATTATCTATTATTATTATTATTATTTGTTGTTGCTTTTGTCATTAATTCCTTCGTTCGTTCATTTGGTCATGTATAGTTATTCCTTTCTTTCATTCGTTCATTCATTAACTGATTTTATTAACTTTTCATTTTATTGTTCATTCATTCATTCATTCGTTCGTTCGTTCATTCATTAATTAATTCATTTATTCATTCGTTCGTTCGTTCATTCATTCATTCATCCAAACTGACTGATGGACTTGGGCAAAACGATGATCACACCAATGAGGACGCCACAAGCCAGCTGTGTTATGAATGTAAATATTTTTCTCCCGAATCTGAAAAAAAAATCAGACTAAGATCATAATTCCATTTCAAAATTATGAATCATAATTTTGAACCATAATTTTGAATTATCTTAACATATTTTTTATCATTTTGATAATCTTTCATATAAATATTCAATCATTCAATCTTTTTTTTCATTCGTTCGTTCGCTCGCTCGCTCGTTTGTTCGTTCGTTTGTTCGTTTAATCATTCGTTGGCAGATTTCAATTCAAATTGATCTTCACCTCAACTATCACACGCGTTGAAAAGCAACTTAACACACAAGTCTTTTGCTAGAAAACATAATTAACCATCAACAATTATTATCTCGGTTAATATAACTATAAAACATTGAATTATATTTATAATTATATCAGAACATGCTGTGATTTTTATCAATGGTTGCGTTTCTGATCCAATAATTATATCAGAATACATTTTATTAATTATTAATTACAATAATGTGTAATAAATTTTGCAAAACTTGTTGGTGAAGAAGGTAGAAGCGAGCAGGGCTGGGGCTTGGAGCAGGACCATCAGCGAGAAACTTAAGAACCTCTCGCTTCCCAGTCTCGCAGAGGATAACATCAACCCGGAGAATACAAACGAACTGGCTAGCCTGGATATGAATGAATGAATGTATGAATGAATGAATGATTGAATGAATGAATGAACGAAAAAATGAATTATTGAAGGTACGAATGATGAATAGATGAATGGATGGATGGATAGATGGATGGATTGGAGCATTGTTTGATGAATAAATAAATGGGTGCGTGAATGAATGGATGAATGACGAACGTACAGATGAATGAATGAATGACTAGATAGATACACCTAACTAACCACAAAACACTAGAAACCATTAAAAACTTCAACAGAACCAAATCCAGGAACAAATCCCTAAAGTTAGGCATGACGATATTTTTAATCTTATCCTCAAAGATTGACGACAAACGACTCCTCATAGATGGCGCGGCGCTGGGCGCCAAACTTGAAACGCTCGTTCGGGGTCGCCACGTCGAAATACTGAGTCTCGGTGGTAACGTTGTTGACGACGGCGATGCTGACGGAAATGACGTCACCTTCAGGTAGATTAATGTTGTTGTTGTTGTTTTTGTGGTTGTTTCTGTTGTTGATGATGATGATGTTGATGTTGTTGTTGTTGTTTGGTTGATGTTGTTGTTGATATTTTTGCTTGTTGTTGCTTGTTGTTGCTTGTTGTTGCTTGTTGTTGTTGTTGTTACTTGTTTAAAATTGTATAAAAAAAAGAAGACAAAACTAAACCTCTTTATTTGAATGGGAGCTATCATCGACATCAGTTGATAGTATGGTAGTGGTGGCCATTATTGGAAGAGTATAAGTATTTTTGGTGGCAGTGTTACTTTTTGTAGCTGCAGCAGTAGAAGCAGCAGCAGCAACGGCCAGAGCATCTGCAGTAGTAATAGTAGTAGTAGCAATACTAGTAGTAGTAGCTGCAGTAGTAGTAGTAGCTGCAGTAGTAGTAGTAGTAGTAGTAGTAGTAGTAGTAGTAGTAGTGGCGTTATTTTCATACGATAAAGCGACGGTGACCCTTCTAAGTAATTTGGTCTGAGGAGTTAGCTGGCAGAAAAATTAATAAATAATAAAAATAATAACCAATAATAATAATAACAAATAGCAACAATAACACCAAATAATAATAATAAAAATTCCTACACTAATTCCATTCCACTTAGCTATCTTCCTCATTATTTTATCGGCTCTCTTTACTTGGCCTGGAAAAAATTATAATAATATTAATAATTAATATTAATAATAATTAATAATAATAAATAATAATAAATAATAATAATTAATAATATTATTATAATAATAATATAATAATAATTACAATAATAAAATGGTAATGACCGTTTGTGGCAAGCCAAGAGGCTGATTCGGGGATGAAACTTTTTAAAAATAATAAAAATTATTATTGTTGTTTTTATTATTATTGTTATTTTTATTATTATTGTTGTTATTATTATTGTTATTATCATTAGACATCATAAATAATAGAATATTCTTTCCTAACAAGCAAGCGAGCGCGCAAAATCCCGACGCCAATGAAATGGCCACTTGCAAATATCTGGCGTAGTTATTTTAATTATTATTTAATAAATAATTATAAATATTATGAATAATAATAATATTATTATTATTAAATCTTTCCTAATTAACTTTCATCGGCAACCTCCAGTGTGTGATATAGTAGGCCATCACTCCGACCAATAGGGTCATGGGGACGACCAGCAGTTGCGAGCCCATAGCGGGCAGTGTCCGATGTTCAGAGTCAAATAACTCTATTATATACATAAAACCAGCTGTTGCGGGCATCTTGTAAAATAGTTATAAAAATAATTAATAATTATTTATTTAATAATAATTAATAATTATTTATCATTAACAATTTCCTAATTTTCCTAACCGGATTAAGCAATCCAATGCTCATCCTAACGAGCAGAAACATCGTGACAGTTTTGGATGCGCTAAGCACCAATCCCAAAACGCAAATTATTCCATGCGATAGTATCTGGGACTTTTTCCGGCCGTACTTGTCAATCAAAAATGAAAGTGTGCACTCTCCAACTAGAGATCCCAACTGGAATAATATTTGGGATAAGTCCGTGTAGTAGTTCCTATCACATACCAGGTTCCACTGAGGATTGAAATTATTTTGTCATAAATTGTCATAAATTGCGCGCAAACGAATGGCGGTTTATTATGGTTGAATAAATTTGTCGTTATAAGACGATGTTTGTGATTTATCGATATGGAAATTATTTTTCTATAATAAAACACCCTTCAAATGAGTTGCTGTTTATTGTGAGGAAATAATTTTTTCATTTCGTAAAACTTGTAGCATTTTTATTATACTAATAAGAGAAAAAAGAGAACTAATATGGAGTATACTTCTTGCACGGTGGTGTAGTAGCCGTCATTTTCGTACAACCAGCCATTTGTGCACTTCACTTCGGAAACTTCATAAAAATCTCCGTCATCAACATATTTGGTGAAATTTGATCTAAATTTCATAATCATATATGAACATTTGTATCGAGAGGACGACGATGACGACAAGTTGGAGGTTAAACTACTTCCATTGAAACTTTCATTAGCAAAAGTGTAACTTTCCTTCGTTTGGTTATTATTACCGCTGCGGTTCTCAGCTAACACGGAGTCACTGCAGTAATGTTTAGGTTCCCAGCCTGTGAAGGAGTAATTTGTAATTAAAATTTATTACAATTTGTTTAGTTATTACGATGGAATAATATGAATTTCTATTAATAATTATTAACAATTGATACTTTAGATGGCTGGTTTCAACTCCTCTTAAAAGAAGAAAACTCTTGGGTAAAACGATAATGAGAATGTAAAAAAATTTAGAAAAATAACGTAGACAACTGAGACAGATTTAGTATTAGAGTTCTTAGTTAACAGGAATTAAGAGAAACCTGAACGAAAAAAATTTGAAGTAGTTAGAAAGGAAGGACGAGAGTCCGACTGAAAGACATTAAAAACGGAATAGCAGATTTAACATTACTTATTAGAATTTTCAATTGGAGTTGAGAAAATATGATGAACGAGATGTCCGGGGTGATAGAATTTTAGCTTAACAATATCTAAGTTGGAAGATGTTGAAGTTAGATGTAGGTAGAAAAAAAGATGAAAGTTCTAGAAAAAAAGACAGAAAATGGACAAAATATATTTAGCAAAAGAGTGTTTCAGGAAAAGGTAAGAACAAAATGATGATTGTAGACACAGTTCACATTTAATTTAAAATATCTTATAGATAACTTGTAAATAATACATTTTAGAAAAATTTAACTCTAAAAACAAGTTAATATGAATTTTTTTACGCAAATAAAAGAGCAATATCATCAAATCCAACCTATAAACACGATGACATAAGATTGAAATACACACGTTGTATAGATGGCAATGCTGACGATGACTGTCAACACTATCTGGACCCTTCTATAACCCCCGACCTTTGACATTGCCTTGTCAAGTAAATCCATTTTTATTTGTTAAATTATTTATTGTATTCTTTATTTGTTTTTTATTCTACTTTTATTTTATTCGATTAATTATTTTATTCACTGTTTAAACATAAAAACACCCGAAAATGTATGTAATATTGAAAGTGACTCATAGTTAAATTATGATAGACGCAATTATATTATCATAAATATTGTTATAATTGATATACAGCTCATTATGTAGTAGCATAATTTATATATGTGATAATAATAATTAATAGACTTTGGTTTTTGATCGTATTGAATTACACATGGATGAGGTATGCTAGATCTAGAACGGATTGACAGAGGCAAACATTTGTATAAAAAAAAAGTTGCCCTATAATAAATCTCGATTACAAACACCAACACTACGTTGTAAGTTTACAAACTACAGGAACTCACAGCAATTTACAAGTTTACAAATCGCAAAACTTTACCGACAAACGTCTGCTTACCGTCTCTACATCTCTAGTAACTAATTTTTTAACCACAAACATTCAAAGTTTTATTTCCAAATTTACTACGCTTAACTAGAAAGCGTCAATTAAGTAAATATTTTGGCTGATGTTTTTTTTTTCATTATTCTTTCTCAAATTTACATTTTTAAAATGTAATTTATAAAATGTTTTACAAATTATCATTTTTCATACATACGTATATGATTTGGGTTGACTAGTTTTTGTTACTAATATGTTACTAAAATTCTTAATCATTCCGTTGATAATAAATCCCTAACTAGGCAGCCAGCTTTTTTCCTGAACGGAAAACGAATTTTAAATATATACATATATATGGAATTAAGATGCTACTGCTAAAATGCAGGATACCTTGATCACTCAATACATGAATCTGAATGAAACCTTCCTGATGTATGATCAGCAAACGAATTATAAACGCTTAAATATTTGATATATTTAATAAATAGCTGAATATTTTTCTAAACTTTTTATTCATTTACAAATTAAATTAAAAAATGGATTTGTTTGACCAAGCCCTGTCAAAAGTAGGAGGCTACAGAAGAGGTCAAATTACATTAGCTGTAATTGTTTCTATAACTTCATTCTCAGCTATTGACTTTCACTGTTACAGTATCGTATTTATAGGTTCGTTTTTATTAAATTTTGATTGAATTTTTTTATTTATTTCCGTTTTTAAAAAAAATATGATTTATTATTTCTAAATTTAAGGATGGGAACCACCGCACGTCTGTAATCAATCGTCAGAAGTTTATAACATGTCATTAATGCCAGAAGAATTGATGAAACATTCAAACAAAAATCTAAAAGCTGATTTTCAGTGTTATTATTACATTCAAAATGATAAAAATAATAATATTTCAATATCAAATCTTGACGAAGATGATAACATATTAAAAAAACCTTGTGAAAGTGGATGGATTTATAATAATTTTGGCTACTACACCGCTGTTGAAGAAGTAATTTTAAGTGTTAATACATTTATTGGTACAATTTATACGCTTAATTGTTATTAAATTTTAAGTCCCGGCGAATATTGACAGGTACCTGCTGTCGGAACCGTTACAACTAACCGAGACTTGTCATCACTATAAATAATTCCACCATTTTTTAAAATTGCGTCTTCAAAAGATTGTTTAAATTCTACTTTCATTAAATAAAATATAAATATTAAACAATTATTTAATTAAACATTTGTTTAATTATTTTGTTTAAAAAAGTGGGATTTACTATGTAAAAGAAATTATTACGTCGAATTGTCTCAAATCTTCTTTCAACTCGGATGCCTAGCCGGAGAAATATTCTTCTCGTACCTAATCGACAAATACGGCAGAAGGATGTGTCAGATAGTGACTCACGCAGTCATTTTCTTTCTTGGTTTGGCCTACGCAATGGCCTACAACTACACGACATTTGCTGTCTTGAGAGTTTTCATTGGGGTGGCTGTAACTGTGAGAACTCAACATTTTTCATAATTTTTTTTAGTTAATTAATCTTAAATTAAATGAATTAAAATTTAAATTTTAAAAATAATAATAATGTAACAAAAAAGTGTCATATAAACTTTCCATTTATTATAACATAATTTACAAAATTTTTGTTTCAAAGTATAAATATCTCAAATATTAATTTGACATTTAATTTCCAGCTGAATGGAACGGCAGGGCTGATGTACCTAATTGAATTATTTGACTCCAAGCATCGAACCATTGCATCCCTAATGTGTCAAATCATCGACGTCCTAATGCTTCTATTACTCTGTCTTTTGGCTTATGTCATCTTCAATTGGAGGTCCTTCCATTCATTTTATTTTCGTTTAGTTTTTGCTAAAATATATTCATAGATCTTTGTATTTATGTTAGTATATTTATTTATTTATGGTTGTAAATGAGGTTTTCAAAGATTTTATTTATTTTGAAAATTGTGTATTCATGGTAGTGCATATTTAATTTTTATAGCTCACAATTTTTTCCAGACATCTTCAGATAGTTATAGCATCATCTTCATTCATATTTGCTGTTGCTATTTTGTGAGTTTTTCTATTCATAAATAATGAAAAAGTTAAGTTATGTAATTAAAAATTGTATTACTTAAAAGTTTATTTAAAGATATTTTGGGTATTTTGTGATAAAAAAAAATTTTCATCAGTTGAATTAACTTTTTAATTTCAGTTTTACCCCTGAGTCACCTGCCTGGCTTGCAAGCAAAGGTTCATCATTATCATCATCTTCGTACCCATAATTATCTTCATCACCATTATTTTCAGCATCTTCGTCATCATCCTCATCATCATCATTATCGCCGTCATCATCATCACAATCATGGTGAAGGTAAAGTAAAGGAAGCAGACCTGATATTAAGAAGGATGGCCAAATGTAATGGCATTCAGGTTCATCCAATCGTTTAATTATGACTTTTAATTATTTATTATTATCGCCAACTTATTATAATTAAAAATATGCTTAATTATAATATATTATTGTGATTAATAGAAATTATTTTGGTGAATGTCAAATTATATAAATACTTTTTTTTATTTCAGTTGAACCCAGGTGCAAAACTTCTCAGAAAGCCTTCTCCACTACCAGCAAATAATACCACTATTTTTAACATTGAAGCCGATGAAAAGGCTGCTGATGCAGTTGCCACTGCTGCTACTACTACTACTGCCGCTAATTCTACTACTACAACAGTTGATTCTGTCACTGCAATGAAAAATTCTACACTTGACCATGAGGAAAATCCTCATGTAATAAGTGTTTCTAATGTTTTTGTATTATATTCATTACTGAGATATATTTCAAATATTCCATTTTATGTTATATTAATTGTATTTCTTATAATTATTATATATTGTGTGTTTTATAGTGTAATAAAAATATAATATATATATATATATATATATATATATATATATATATATATATATATATATATGTGTGTGTGTGTGTATATATATATATATATATATATATTTATATACATATATAGTTATGTAGAGTTATTGATTATATATAGTTATATAGTGTTATATACGGTTGTTAATATGTGTATATATGTATATTTATTTTTTCCATAGAGGACCAAATAAGTTTAAAATAAACTTGTTGAGAGACCACCCTTAACTAAGTGATAAATAAACAAAAGTTCAAAAGTTAGAAATTAAAAAAATCCATTTCAGCGTTCAAATGCATTCAAATACTATATCAAAATTTTATAAAAATGTTAACTAGAATGAAATACATTATTGCCATCATCATCTACAACAATCACAGTTGAAGCAGCCGTTGTCGTCTGTACGTTCAAATAATGTGATGAGATCTATAGTTGACACGTTGTCATCATTATTTGAGGAGAAAATAAGGTATGTGTGTGTTTTGTGTATTATGTGTGTGTGTGTATGTGTATAGTATGTATCTTTGTATACTTTCGACTTTCAAAGAATCTTGTTGAAAAAGTTGATAGAATGAGCTGCAAGTAGGTTAATGTCAAAAATTCAATAGAATTTAGGGAATTCCGTATTATGTTACCTCCTTCATATCCGTGTGTATGTGTGTATATATGTGTTTGTTTATGTGTGTGTGTGTATGCGTTATGTATGTATTTTTTACTAAAATGAATTTTAGGTCGATGATGATGGCTTCTGTAAAGGACCTGCTAACAGATAGGGTACTCATAAAGTTTCTTGTGCTGTCTAGTTGGTTTTGGTTAGATGTGGTGATGTTCATGTTGATGTTTGTGTAGCTGATAATAATGAAGGTGATATACACGCTGATGTTGATGGAGATGGTGTTCGTCATCACCATGTTCGTCATCACCATGTTCGTCATCACCGTGTTCGTCATCACCGTCACCAGGTTCACATCGATGTTTGTCTTCTCAGGAATCATGTTGTCGTCAGGCAGTATTGGTGATAATAGATTCACCAACTTCTTCATCATGTCACTCATCCAACTGCCTTCCGTCGTCCTCTGTGCATATTTCATCGAAAGGTCGCCTTCTTATTATCATTTTGATCCAAGTCGTCATCGTATTATTTGTCATCATCGTCGTCGTTATCATCTACCTCGTCTTCATCCTTCGTTGTAATCCTTCTCTTCACTAGATTCGGCAGACGCGTTTCCATATTTTTAAGTTGCTTGCTGTGCGGAGTTTGCTTGGGAATCATCGAATTATTGCCTCTGTCTATCAGTTTGTTGTTCTTTTTCAAATTTTCATACATTCATTCTTTCGCTTATTCATTCATTCAATCATTTATTCCTTCATTCTTTATCTAAATTATTCATACATACATTTATAAATCCATTCATTCCTCTAACTTATTAAAGCCATTCATTAGCACATCTAGCACGATGTATGAATTCATTAACCAACTAATTAGCATAATTTTATTAATACGTTAATTTCAGATGGATTGCATATGGAAGCTGTTAAATTGGCGTTAACATTCTCCACCATGTTCTTAATATCCTGCACCTACTCCATTCTAATGCTTTACGGTAAAGAAATATTTCCTACAAACTTGAGGTCTTTGATTATTTCATATTGATGATATTGTTATTATTATTATTTGCAATTATTTTCGTTCTTATTTTTAATTTCTATATTTTGCAAGCTTGGTGAGAGCACAATTGAATTAAGTTCAAACTGATCGGTCGGTTGGTTGGTCGATTAACTAATTTACTAATTAATTAGCTTTTTTAAATTTTCCTTTAATTAATTAACTAATTAATTAATTATTCAATTAACTGTTTAATTAATTATTCTAATTCAGAGCGACGAGCAGCGGTATATGTCAGGTCTGGGGTAGAATTGGTGCACTATTAGCACCACTCACAGCCTACATGGTTAGTGGTTTATATATTGTGTTAGATTAGAATCTGGTCTGTTATTAGTTACTAATTCTTAAGTATCATTGCTTGGTATTATATTACCCAGCCATCTAGCTATCTATATGTCTATTTATCTAAATATCTATCTACTTGTAAAAAGTTATGTCATCTGTCCATCCTTCAATCTATACGATTATTTATCTGTCTCTGTGTCTATTTAATTAATTATGAATTACAACGCGTAATTGGTCGGATGTATCAATTTTCATAATATTTTGATATATTTGTGTTTTATAATTTTAAAATTTGACTTTATAGCATCTTAAAAACCTATCACAGTGATAATAATTATCAATAATTATATATCTTTCGTAATTGGGTTTAATAATTCCTCGAAGAACAGTTGAAAACTCAATGGTTCTGGCTACCGAATTTATGATACGCCGTCGTCTGCATATCCGTAAGCTTCCTAATTTGGTTTCTGCCTGAAACGAAGGGAGTGCCACTGCCTCAAACTCTCAGTAACTGCCATTATCTCGACAACAAGGACAGGAGAAAGATATAAGCAGGAGTGTTTTAAGTCTGTTTTTTAGTTGTTTATTTTTCTCGTTTAAGACGGGTAGGCGCTGTCTTGTGATTTTCTGTAATGTCATTCAAGTGTTATAAAAATTTTAATTCAGCAATGTGTAGCGCTTGTAAACTCTATTCCCACCTGTATTGGTTTTACTTCAATTTACTTTTAAGCTTGTTTCAAACGTAAGCTTAATAAGCCATAAATTAAATTGAAATTCATTCACTTAATTCATTAACTGATTTACTTTTGCCATTCCATATGATGAATGAAAGAACATAGAGCGAGGTTTAAATTTGTGAGTTGTTTTTATTTTGTTGTTATTTTGTCCAGTTTACCCTTGGTTAATTTAATATTATATTTAATTTATAAATATTAATTTTTAATTATTAAATGGAATCTATCCTACCTTTTTTATTAATTACTTACACTCACCTTTAGTTTAGTTTAGTAGTTATTATCAGTGTTTGCCATTAAAACTTGTTGATGAATGTAGTTTCCTCCAGTATTACGACAACCATCCCATCAGACAGTTGTAGATTAATTTTGTATAACTTTATTGTTAAAACTTAAAAAGACAAAAATTTGAATCAAACAGATGAATTGTTATTCTTTCTTACCATCCAACTATCAATATCCATCTATCTATTGACCATATATATCACGTTGTTCATTTGATTATTGTCAGAATAAATGGCTAATTGTGAGAACGCATGATGACTCAACTCGAAATTTATAATGAACCATTAATTGAGCAACAAGGATGTGATTGAATTTTATTTAAAGTGTATCAGTTACTATTATCTGTGAAATTTTTATAAAAATTTCTATGTTCTACTCATACATATCAGCTAAATGAATAATTAATTAATTCAATTAATATATATATATATATATACATATATATTGTATATGCTACTTAAACTTGGTTGTTAAATGTTTATCAGATTTTTTAACATTGAAATTAGAAGAAAATATGAATGTGTCTATTGAAGTTTTGAGAAGGAGAGGGGTTGATTATTTAGCTAACCTAGTCAGGGAGTTAGAACAAGAGAAAGTAAATTCTAACTGCGAATATACCAAATCTTTAAACGATCTAAATACGAAACTTCAAAATGGCGTCGTCGAAATTCAGAATTTGAGACAAAGGAATAAAGATTTGAATGTTGAAAATGAAGATCTTAAAAATGTATGCCTCTACCTGGATGATGAAAGGTTGAAGTTGGCAAAGTTGCTAGAGGAATGGAACAATTTTGGCAAATACATCTTCCAACATTTTGAGGTAACTGCAATATTTTCTAATCGGTTTTGCTGTTTGATTGTTTCTTATACCGTCTTATTTTGTATAATTTGCTATTACCTGAGTGACTTGTTATTAATTATCAGTTTTTATTGTTTCACATTTTCAGGACAAAACAAATTCTTGCAAAATAGATATAGACAGATTAGAAGCAAACCACAAAGAAATCATTCTAGAAAATTCCCACCTCAAGCAACTGCTTTCGCTGAATAGTAGTGGAAAAATTGAACAAACTGCCATCAAATTTGATCAGATTAGGAAGCGTGGGGATGGTAGTAGCAGTCCCAGCAGCACATCTCTGGAAATTGGTAGAACTAACAACCACAGCAGCAACAGCTACACTAATTTTAGTGCAATCAATACCCCACCGTCATCTGATATTAGTAGTATTTCAGAAGATACTAAATATGTTCAAGATAAAGTCAAAAGTTTTACCAGTACGAAAAAAAATGCAAGCATTAATAAAGTTAATTTCCCCAACAGCTGTAGCGATGTTAGAAAGGATTTTAATGATTTGCAAATAGGAAAGAATCATTCTTTACCACAAATTGCTAATAACAACAATAGCCACAACATTAATAATAATAACATCAATTACAAAATTGGTAATAGCAATAGGAATAGTAATAATAATGTAAGTGCGAAAATTAGGTGCTATTCAGTGTCAAGTTTGAACAGAAAAAATGTTAATGATAACAAAAATGAAGTCATTTCGTCATTTCAACCCACACCATCATCATCATCGTCTTTGTTAACGTCGTCATCATTATCTAAGTTGAATTATCAATATGATAATGTTCCTTTAGTTGTACCGCCATTACCATTGCAAGCGTCATCATCGGGGCCACTATTCATTGGACATGATATTAAATCTAGAAATCTTTTCTCATTACCATCGCCTTCGTCGTCTTCATCACAACCATCGTCGTATCATCATTATAACTTACAACATGCTTCGTCAACATCAGCAACCACAACAGCATCATCATCAATGACTAAACCATACTATCAGCAAATGAAGATGTCTTCATCATCCTTACCTTCAACTTTATACAACTCGCAACATCAGCAGCAGATTAAATCTGGCTTACCCATGACTTATTATTACGACGAGGCTTCGCAAAAACAATTTCATCACCAACAACATCAACAGCAAAATCTCCAACAACAACCGCTGCAACAACAACTAGAAAACTCAACTTATTTGCAATCTCATGGAACTCAACAGCGTCAACAACAAAACTTTACACCTGCACAGCACAAACTACAACAAATTATTATGCAATCTGACGTCAACAGCATCAACAAAAACATCAGCAAAAACATCAACATCAACAAAAACATTAACCCACCGTACAACAACATCATTGGCTATCAAGCAGTACAGTCTAATAGAATTTATGATTCAACCGTTCAAAAAATGCCCAATCAAACTTATATGGTTATTAAATTGCTATCATTCTTAGCAGTGATAAAATTAGTATTAAAGATAGAAGTAATTGTAGAAATCGTAGCAGCACTTTTAGTTATAGTTATAGTACTAGCAGAAAATTTTTCCAAACATTTGGGTTTGCTAATTTGATTTTAAAAATTAATCAGTATAAAATATTCTCCTTTTGTTCATTTCAGTCTAGCACTTCACAGAAAATGCAGTCGAATTACTCAGCTAACAGCGGTAGTAATAGTAATAGATTGAATAATAATACAATTGCTGAAGACGATGATGACAACGATAATGTGGTTAGCAGTGATAGGGAGAAAATTAGGCAGGCTTGCAATGTGAGTATTATCATTATTATTGTTATTATCATAAATGATGTTATTATTGTTTAGAAAATTTATCAATTTAAATTATTTCCTTAGTACCTATCACACATATTTATTATACCTAACCGTTCGTTTTTGCGATCGTCTCTTGTTCTCACTCCTTCTTAACTCGTGTTAAACACTTGCGCTAAATCTGCTTTTGCTTTTTCTGGCCCTTTTCTCTGGAACTCTCTACCTCCTTCTCTGACTTCGTCTCCATCACTTACGAAGTTCAGAGCGGATCTCAAGAACCAACCATCATCTGTTTGCAAAATTCGCTCTGTACTCGTGGCTCGCAAAATGGCTCTTTAGAAACTAATTAAATTGATTATTTAGGTTCTTGTTTTTAATCGTTATATTAGTAATTGTTAATGTTTTAATTGTTATTGGTTGTTCTTTTTTTGCAGGTGATGTGGAAAAAATTGAATCAAAATTCAACTGCCAATCGAAAACTCTAGCAACTCCTTTCTTTCTATCTCCCTTTTTCATTTTTCTTTTTTTTTCTTCACCCTCTCTCTTTCTCTCTCTCTCTCTCTCTCTCTCTCTCTCTCTCTCTTTTCTTATATATATAAATTTCAATATTTGAAACTGGTTTATAGTAAGATTTAGATTTTTACGTCAGATTTTAGCAGAGATATCTACATCATCTTTTGTTATGTTGCTCCTACCACCACAAATCATCATGACTGTACATGTTAACACACGTGCATAGTTCAATTTCTGGTTTTTTTTATACCTTTTTTTGTGATCGAGAACTTATTTTTATGTTTTGATGTCTGTGCTTGTATGTTTGTATGTGTATGTGTATGTGTGTATAAATTTCTATTTGTGTGCATGTGTTTGTGTGATTTGTCATTTTCAAATATTTCACAACTACATGGTTTATAGAAATATTATTTTGTAAACTTCACTCAAACTTTTTCACATGCTGTTGTTTTGAAGTAAAATGTTATTTTTGATATAATTTTTGAATAAAATAAGCATTTTTCGAAATTTCGTCGGCTTTTTTTATGTCGGTGCCGGAGTCTTGAGGCCGCAAGGTTGTTAAAAATTTTATATAAATAAATTTCGTTAACTAGGCGCTACGTAATTGATAGAAGAATTAAATAGAAACGCTTAAAAGTGAACTAATTAAAGACTTAGTAACATTTAAATCAGAAATAGTGAATGTTTTGATGATTAAGTTGTTGATCGCTTAAGATTTACGGTCTCCAGATTAGTGAAAAAAGTTTAAATGGATGTTTTGATGTCCGGTTGGCTTGTTAAATCGCCTCCGGAAAAGAAACCATGGAGTTTTTTCAAACATGTAAGTTAGAAAACAGAAAAATTCATTTATTTTTTCATTATTAGTTTTTATTACTAATCAATAATCGTCACAATTTTGAAATAAAAATTGTTTTCAATGTTTCAATTTCGTAGTTTGAATTTTTTATTTATTTTTGGAAGACCACAGTAAATTGACAGATTTGTGTTCATAAGTGTTTTTTATATAAAATTAAAAGTAGTGATTCATTAATTCAATTCATCATGTCATCCTCATTCACCATCCAGTCATTTTCTATATATATATTCAAAAACTTTTAAACTTTCAAACATTAATCTATTACGTTTGGATAAGGTAAGTTTCTCGTTATTATTGCCATAATTAATACTTTATTACAACCATGCAGCACTAACTACTAGCAAAATCACTTATCTAACTTATCTTCTTAACAAATACCTCAACAACAGCAATGGCAAAGAAGATTTTTTAAACTCCAGCACCATCTAGCCTCCCCAACGGACAACAATGACAACTTTTTTCTCTCATTTGACTACTTTGACTCAGACGAGGACCAATCAGTCGTCAGTAACCTCAACAAGAGAGGGTCTATTGATCTAAAGAATTGTACTGAACTTTGTTCTGCCCTAAAATTTGGACAATATCTCCATGTTTTTTCGATAAAAACAAAGTATAGAAATCAGCAGAGGATATACTACTTGGCAGCTGATTCTCACGAAGAGATGGACAGGTGGTTCAGTATTTTGTGCCATGTCCTCGAATTAGGGAAGGCTGGTTAGTGAAAAATATGTGATTTTATGTGTTCTTCTATGGGTGTTGTTTTTCAGATCATTTCATTAAACTTTAGTCACTTTATTGTTATCGTTGTTTGATTTTATTAATTTTTCTTTCTCCTATTTAAGATCCACCGATCCCGCCAAGAACAACGGAGGATGTATATTTCCAGAAACAACAACTTAAACAGCAGCATCTTAAACAAGAACAACAACATCAACAGCAGCTACAGCAGCCACAAAGACATCAGCAGAAACTGAGCAAAGATTATTTTCAGATGAGGAGAAGAAATAGTTTTCACTGTTCTCGAAACAACAATAATAGCAGCAGCAACAACAACGCTAACAACAACTTCTCATCAACAATGGATTCAAAAGTAAAGCATAAAAATAAATCAACCGACATGCTATTCGTAGATCAGCATGTCCCTGACACCTCGCCTAACCAACAGTTTGATGAATACATCCGATTAGATGATTGTTTCAGTGGTTCTTCTTACATCAGTAGTCTGAAAAACAGCAACAAGTTCAACAACAAAAGTTCAAACAAAATGGAGGCATGGAATTCTGCAAATTTTGACAAACAAACCAAAAAACTTTCCAAGGTTTCAAATTTGTCCACCAATGCGGCAGGTTACAGCATGCAGAGCAACAAAACCAACAATAAACAAAAACCTTACAAAACATCCCAAATGAGCCAGTCAAGTTATGATTGCAGCAAAACTGGCCTGCTATTAGCAAACACATCAACGTCATCAACAGTAACAACTACAACACCAGCCACAAAGTCATCAACAACAGCGGCAGCACCATCGCTAAGGTCATCATTCAACAAGAACTGCAAAAGTTTCACTAATCTGAACACTCATCAATTCGACATCAACAGCTTCCACAGCAGCAGCAACAACAACATCAGGAAACACATCTCCACATCGAAATTGATGTCAACGACATGTACGAAACCATCAACAACATCAACATTCAGCAAAAAATCGTCAACGAGAACTGTCTTCCTAAACAATTCGTTTGCACCTTCAAGATTCTTTCTAAAAGATCCATCCACTTTCGAACTCACAAACTACAACAGCAACAACACCAACAACAACAACAGCAGCAACAATAATGTTGGTGATAAAGTTGATGTTGCCAACAAAAACAAGATTAAGAGTTGTAGTGTGGGGGTGGGTGGCAACAAAAGTAACTTTTCTCCAGGTTATTGCTGCTTTTGTTGAGGCTATTATTATTACATTATTATTATATTATTTTTATATTACAATTAATTATAATAATTATAATTAATAATTAATATTATTGTTACATTATCAGGTGACCCAAGAAATAACAACATAATGATCAGCTCTCAATGGTTTGCCGTTTTGATGGAATGCTTGATTGGTTGATTGATTGATTGATTTGATAAGAATTGAACGCAATTTTTTGTTTTTAAACCGGCCAATCACGTTCACCCATCCATTCAAATGTTTTAAAAAATTGACCAATAAAATAGGCTCCAAAGACAGCTCTCAAGAAAAGCCAGCCAATCAAAACAGTCAATAAACTCAACGGAGCTTGGTTGCCGTGACAACGAAATTGATGACGATGATGACAGAGAGGATGATGATGATGATGATGATCGCGATTTTGATGATGATACCACATCACCATCAGTCTTTAATGAGGTCTGACATTGACACTTAGCAATTGATTAATCTTTCATTCTTCTTTAAATTCGTTTCTGAGCTCAAAACTATACATTTGTGAAATTGTTGAATAGATAGATTGAAGGATCTTTGAACATTAACAGACCTCTACCTGCAAGAAATCAAAGATTGATTTCAATAAGAGCTGCACCCTATCTGTATTCTTTCCACGCTGTATTATGATCTCTTTATTTCACACATGGCATACATGAATAAACCTTCCTATAATTAAATGAGCTTGAACTTGAAAACCATAAATTATTATTTGTATATATATATATATTTGTATTTTATTATTATAAAAGATGATTTTGTGTGTATGTATGTATATATGTATGTTAGTATGTATTTCATTTTTATTTCATTTATTTAATAGAAAGGTAAATAAGTTAGAAATTTAACTTGGGAATAGGCCACCCTTAACTAAAATCATAAGGTACATGAAAAAGAAGTCAGATAGGTAGGCTACATTAGATTAAATTATTTAACATAAACAGTAATTATTTTGCGCATGCATAAAAACAAATTTGATCTTCACAAAAACTGAAACCTAGAAGGTGGTGTCGGGATCCAACTTGAAAAGTAAATTAGTAAATTTTTTCTTAAATAAATACAAATTATTTAAATTAGATATTTGTACAGAAACAAATTTAAACCATATTGAAGGTCTTGTTTGTTTTAAACTTGAAGAGATTAGTTTGAGTGGAGTTTTGTAGTTGTAAAGAAGAGGGGTGTGTCTAGTTAAGGCAGTTTTAATTAAGTGGCTCTGTGTATAAAAATTTGAAAATGTTTTTGGAAGCAAACTATTCAGAAATTTGAATACAAATATTGTAAAAAAGTAAATGTAAAGAGGGTTAATGGTCATAATTTGTCTGTATATGTATGTATGTTTGTATGTATGTATGCATGTCGGTATGTATGTATGTGTGTATGAATGTATGTATGTATGAATGTATGTATGTACTGTGTTGTTTATATTACCACTCATTCTTTTAAATTGAATTGAATTAATTGTATTGAATTAATTTAAATTGAATTGTATTCAGGGCTATGGCTTGTCCCCCACCAATTACATCTTCTCAGTCCGACAGAGACAACAACGTCAACAACAACCACAACAGCAACAACAACACGACATTAACGACATCAACAGTGACGACATCAGCAATGATTACAGCAACTTCTGCAGGCACCAATCAGTTAAATATGTCGATTTAGACCTCAAGCAGTGTTCCCTTAGCAAGGGGAATAATAATTTTCAAACTGTTTTTCAACAGAAAGGCAACGCCGGACAACAACAACAACAGCAACAACCACAGCAACAAATGTTCATTCATCATCACTATAACTACCCTCAACACCAACAACAACAACAACATCATCATCATCATCATCTCAACAGCAGTACCAACCTCATGCCTGCATATTTCCAGGGAGACCACGTTCAATACAGTGAGATTGATTGGCTGAAAACTGAAGGTAACCAGGCTATTATTGTTATTATTATTTATTGTCTATTATTATTATTATTATTATTATTATTATTATTATTATTATTATTATTATTATTTGTAGTAGTAGTTGTGGTAGTAGTATTGGTAGTAGTGGTAATAGTAGTAGTAGTAGTAGTAGTAGTAGTATTGGTAGTAGTAGTGGTAATAGTAGTAGTAGTAGTACAAATATGTATTATAAGTTTTAATTTTAATTATAATATTTATAATAATTGTAATAACAAGGATAATGATGATGATGACGATGATGATGAATGCAGGATTGAAAGAAACGATAAATTACTTGAAGAACGAGAGAAGGAGCAGCGTTAATTCATCCAGTAACAGAAATGAGTCTTCGTCGCATTCGTCAACAACTTGCTGAGAATTATGGAGGGAATGAACGAACGAACGAACAAACGAGTGAATTAATGAGTGAATGAACGAAGGAGTGAATTAATGAGTGAATGAACGAATGATTGAACGAATGAATGAAAATGAAGTAAAAGATGAATTAATTTGTGAATAAATAAATAAATGTTTGATTGGTTTATCGATAGCTGTTAACAATGACGATGATGAGTATGACGCTGATAATGATTGTAATATTAATACTGATGATGATGACGATGATGATGATGATGATGGTAGAAATGGTATAAGTGTTTCATCATTAACTAGATTACTTTTACATGTAAAATTGTCTGCCAGGTTTTTTCAATGGAATCACTATGAGAGGAATTTTAATTATTTTAAATTCTATCTATAATTATTTATATATTTATGTATGTATATATATATATATGTATGTATATAAACCGACTTAATTGTATATGGTGCCAACAGAATTTCTTTTAATTTCTTTGTATTAAAATGAAAAAGACTTCGAAATATGTACAATTATGCGTGTGTGTGTGTGTGTGCGCGCGCCTATATATATATAAGCTGTTGAGTCTATAGTATTAATTCATATTAAGTAATGTTGATTTGCGTAATGATAACTTAATGTAATGTCTCAACATTTCTTTGCTTAGTAACGCTGTAATGCCCTTGCGCTACGCACTAACTGAACTACGCTACGTTAACGTCTTCATGTTATCTTTCTTCTGTAAAGCGTTTACAAAATTAAAGATGGGTTTGTTGAGTATCTGAGTTAAATTTAACGCGGTAATTATCAGAGTTATTGATTTTGTTATTATTGGCTGTTGCTACTGGCGATATTATTTTACTATTATTGTTATGATTATTATAATCAATCTTATCATGAGTTTTAAAATCGAAAGATGATTCGTTACATTTCGATTTTTCTCTCTTGCTTGAGTTGTTTATTGAATGTTTGTTGAAAATTATTTATTTTTTCTCATTCTCTGGACGAGTTGTTGCTTGTTTTGCATGTATGTATGTATGTATGTTTGTATGTATGTTTGTTTAAATGTTTGTTGGTTTGTATGTCGGTTTGTTTGTTCTTTTATTTGTTTGTTGATAACTTCTACCTCTACCTTTGATATTTAAAATTTTCTTCAGTTTTTAGCATTTTCTCGCGACGTATCTTGTTTATTCCAATTATTTAACATATTATTATATTATATAATATAATTATAAGTCATATATATATATATATATATATGTGTGTGTGTGTGTGTGTGTGTGTGTGTGTGTGTGTGTATTTATATATGAAAGTTATATGTATGTACATATATTTATTACTTTTGTATGTCGTTTAGTCAGTGTAAAACTTGTACCACTATTTGAATCTTACGAAAGATTGCTATATTTATTGGTTTTTATGTTATTATTGTTATTTATTCATTTATTATTATTAATTATTATTATTTATTATCGTTATTGTTGTTAATGTTGTTGAATTGTCATTACAAACTTGCATTCCATATATATATTTTTTAAGATCGTTCTTCTTACTGTCGTTTTATTATGCATTTCATTCATTCATTCGTACATTTCACCTTTCTTTCATTCATTCACACTTATATTCTTTTATTTACTTTTGTGCCATCTTTCATTCACTCGTTTATATTTTTTGAAAATATCTATTTTATTCGTTCGTTAAACCAGAGTTCATTTTATTTTTACCGCTTTTTCATTTTTTTGTTTGAACAAATTAGGACATTCCGTTTTACTTTCACTTTCGCTTTTCATTTAAAATGATATTTCAATTTCGTTTTCAAGTTTCATTTTCTTAATCTTTTTTCATTTTGTTAGCCAGATGTCAAGAACGACTACAAAGCCGTCATGTAGTTATTAACGTTACATTAAATCATCGTAATTCCCAGAGATGTGTGTGTGTGTGCGTGTATGTGTTGATTGAGCGCTCTTGTGACAGAAACTTCGGCCAGCAACCGATGAATACAAAACACGTACAACAGCCACACATTCAAACAGGGTTCTACAGAAAATGTTGAAATTTGAAAAAAATACTAGCTTGGACTTGAACAGCATTTTATGAAATATAACTGGCTGGCGGAAGAAAGCATGGCCTATAAGTATAACCAATCATATTCAATAATCTCTACAGGATAAGAAGCACTGAGTGTTTAAAAACAACTGACCGTCATCTTTGTAAGAAGTATGGATATCGCAAATACATTTTTTGCTTCAGATTGGTCGGAACAAGATATACACATTTATAGTTTAAATAAATATTAATCATAACTTATATATAAATTTCAAGTGAGTCACGTTCATTGGTTTTTATTTTCCTTTAGAAACAAATCGATGAATGAATGAAAATATAAAAATCATCATCATAATAATTGCTGTTCATTATATATAATTATAATATATTATAATTATAATTAATCATAGAGCCTGAAAGATTTAAATTTTCTTCTTGAAATCCTTAAATTACTGACTACAAAAAATTCAATGTATCCAGAAATCAGCCACCCAATGTTAATTAAGTAGGCAGGTAGGTAGATGAAATTTATCAGCTGAACAAATTCAAACATCAACAACAACATCAACGGCATCAACAACCAATCACATTTATGGCAATTAAACATTTGTCTAATCATCAACCAATTGCATTCAAACATTTGTTAATTTATCAATCAGAGTAGAGTAGAGTAGAGATTAATTAAAGAATGGCGGTCGTTGTTGGAACTGTTGTTGTTGTTGCTGCTGCTGTTGTTGTTGCATTGGAAGAGAACTGTTTGGATTACTGTTGTTGGTTGCCATGGGCGGTCCACGAACTGTTACAACCTGCTGTTGAGGCAACAAAAATGCCGGTTGTTGTTGTGGTGTTATGTATGTTGATGGAAGCGTTTGTTGTTGTTGCTGTTGTTGTTGTTGCTGTTGAAATTGTAAATGTTGTTGTTGCTGGTTGAATGCTTGTTGCATGTGTTGTTGTTGTTGCTGCAAGTGTTGTTGCTGCTGCTGATGCTGCTTGTGGAAATCTTCATCTTGGATGGGCACTGTTATGAGATTGGTGGACCTCGAAGCCATGACAGCTGCATTCTGAGGAGATAATTGCTGTGGCTGTGGTTGTTGCTGCTGCTTATGATGTTGTGGCTGTGGCTGTTGCAGTCCAGGAATTGCATTTTGAATCATTATTTCTTTGGGTTGTTGTTGCATTTGTTGTTGTTGTTGCTGCTGTTGAATTTGTTGTTGCTGGATCATTACAGGCATTGATTGCATGTTGAAAATGCGGTTTTGTTGTGGCGGTGCAGCAAGCAGCAAATTTGGCTGTTGTTGTTGTTGCTGCTGCTGAAATTGTTGCTGCTGGAGTTGTTGTTGCTGCAGCTGCTGTTGAAGCTGCAAAGGTTGTTGTTGCTGTTGTTGTAGAGGTTGACCAGCCATTCGTTGTTGCATCATCAAACCACTATCAACATTTCTTGTTAAGTAGACAGAACCCTGTGGCAGGTAGTGTAAAGATGTCGGCTGAAGCTGTTGTTGCTGCTGCTGATGATGAAATTGCTGGATGTATTCAGGAGGAAGTGTTGTTGTTTGTGCAACTGGTGGCGGATGTAGAACATTGGGTTGCAACAGTAACTGTTGCTGTTGCAGATGTTGTTGTTGTATTAAATGTTGTTGCTGGTCATGTTGTTGTTGTTGTTGTTGCTGCTGCTGCTGTTGCAGTACACCACCAACAATCATTCCTCTTTGTGGTTGCTGCTGCTGCTGTAATTGTTGCTGCTGCTGTTGAAGGTGACGATGTTGTATATGGGATTGAAGATCTCGTTGTGATAGGTAGGTGCGATGGCAGCCCGAGACCCCGTGCTTGCTGCCACCCACCGTGCATACAAACACCGTTCCTAATGCTGCTGGCTCTATCCTCGTTACCGCTGTGTTGCATCTGCGCATGCGTGAGAGTAAATGTTGTTAAGTGTATGTGTGTGTGTGTGTGCCTGTGTGTGTGAGTGAGTTTCAGTGCTTATGTGTAGGTTTTGTTTTTCATGTTACTAAACAAGTTGGTATGTAAATCTGAATCAAAAAGAATGTAGAAGAAAGATGCGGGTAATAATGTTTATAACCAAGCATAGAATATGTATGAATACAAACATATTTACAAACAAACATTCGCACAACCATGTATACAAACATACATGCATACAAACAAATACCCCAAAAAATCTAAAAACACACAAACATAGATATTGAATAAGTTACCTCAAGCAAATCTTCTCGTTTTTCTTTGCACAAGAATAGCAAAAAGCATGGCGACACGGTTGCTGAAAACGTTATGAATTTTAAAAATTATAATGATTTACAAAATAATAATAATTTCAATAACTAGAAATAATAATGAACATAAATTATATTGTAAACTAAATTATAACCAAATGAATATAAACGGTGAACAAAGCAAACATGTAAATAACAACTCACCAATCTTCCATAAATTAAAATAGGCAGGTGGCATTTCTCACAACTGTGAATCAACGGGTCCAATACTTTTTCTCCAATTAGATTTATCTTTAATAATTTATTATACATCTATTTATTTAATTATTTCTATATAACGAATCAGGAATATAAATATAAAATAGACAACATCAGCAACAACATACAGGATGGCTCCATTTCAACTTTTTGTATCTCTGAATGAACTCTGAAGATACTGATGAAGATGATGATGACTTGCTATCTGTAATGTTTTAATTATTATTATTTAAAATTATTTACTATATTTAAAATTATTTACTAATAGTTTTATAATAGGACACTATAATAGTAACAGAGATCATTAATATAATTATAAGTTGATGCTTATTACTTATTAATACTTAAACTTAATTACTCCCTCATAATAAATTAAAAATAAAATCAAACTTCAAAGACTTAACCGAAGATATCATCAGCTTCCTCCCCAGCAACTTTTGTTCCAGCAGATTTTCTATCACTCTTCGACTTGTCACTAATCTGCGAGCTGGCCGTCACCGTAACGACGTTGGAGCTGCTAGATGTCACTGCGGTGGTGGAGCTCTGCTTCAATTTCAAGGAAATATTTTTCCTAATCGATTGATTAAGATTAGTATTAGTCGACCGATGGGTTGATTCGGAGTCCAAGCCTAATTCTAAATCTGGCGCTGATTCAAAATGAAATGTTAAATATAAAAAATTAGCATGAAAATTTTTAATTTAGAGTATTTAATTCAATATTTTGAACCGAACAAGTAAGTTTCCGACTAACACTCACCTTCCATTTTGAAAAACAGAATTATGGTTCGTCTAATATCTCAAAGCTTAAGCCCAAACTTTTAATTAAAACTGGTGTAGCGCTTATTTATATAAATTGAACAAAAAACAAATAACTACTTTAAAAAACACATTTTACAATTATTTTTAAAATTACAAAAAATATAAAATTTTAAAAATTAACTTTTCAAATAATGTCCAAAAAATATTAAAACCCTGACCCGTTACCATCACTTTTAAAAATACTTTTAAAAGCTGGAAGCGAGGGGCTCACGTTTTTTCTTACAAAAGTAACTTTTTTAGCTTAAAATCTACAAAATAATTAACAAATTTGCAATTAAAATTTAGTTTTTAATTCAAATTTGCAAGTTTTCTTTGCTGTCATCTGTTTAGTAAGTAGATTTTTTGAGTTTAATCTTGATTGCAGCTCTAGGAAACAAAGCACTTTTTACTTGGTTTTGAATTTTGATCAACCAAAAATAAAAATAATTTTTAAATTCACTAATTTGAATTTAAAATTTATTTTTAAAATATTTCGCTATTAAAGTTATCTATTTTACGATCGTTATTGGTTTTATTTTACTAAAAACAGTGAGTTTAGCTAGCATAACTAGCTAAAAAAATATTTAATTATTATATGATATATTTCTTTATCAATTTTTATTTGTTTCACTAAATCAGGTAAAATTAAACTGATGATGTCGACGATCACAACAGCTGATAAAAAGATTCTAATTAAGAAAGTGCAGATAACTGACCACGCACAACTCCCGTCTAATTACAGTGCAACCCCTGGTGGAACCATCTTCTCGACGACCCCAGGAGGTCCAGTGACACTTTTTCATTTTTTTATATCATAACTTTAATTTTTTTATTTGTCATAATAATTTTATCTTAGCAGAGTTAATTTTTATTGTAATTGTAGTTGATATAACGAAGAGTCAAAAATGAAATTTTATAATTCTTTATTTATATGAACTTTTGAACATTTTTTTATGAACTGAAATTTAGGTACTAGGATAGTCTATGAGAGGGATTTCTTACTTCAGTGTCGAAATTCCACACTTTCAATGACTCCACCCACCAACCTGCCAATAATTCCCGGTGTCACACGGCCCCAACCCCATCATCAGCAACATCATCAGGATGAGGGTAAGAAGAATAAAGCTGTTATTGAAGAGGAGGAATCTAAAAAGGCAGCTCATGGTTGGTTGGTTGGTTGGTTGGTTGGTTAACTGGCTGGTTCTCTGACTGGCTGGTTTATTTGGCTTGTTGGTTGATTAGATTTTTATTGGTTATTTGGTTTTCCAATTCATTGCCTAGTTCTTCAATTAGTTGATTGGTTTTTAGATTGTAGATTGGGCTACATGGTATTAATTTTTTATTTTTGGTTGTAAAAATAATTATATTTTGTTTTATATTTTGAAAAGTAATCAGTTTTTAATGAATAAAATTATTAATCAAGCATTTATTTTGAAAATTTAATAAACCATATAAACCATTGCTCAGATGATCAGCAGTTTCACATGGAAATCTGAACAGGGAAGATTGAAATCTTTAGGAACACTAGTTAATATGAGTAATAACGTCAACTTTCAAAGATTTTTTAAAATATTTTAGAAAATTATGAATATGTGAATATATAACCGGGTATATAAACAAAAAATATTATATATGATAGATGAACAAAACTATCTGAATGAAGTTTAATTTCATAGCAGTCTGTTTTCAACTTGACTTATTTTGTTTAAGATATTTCGTGTAACTTTTTATAATAAAGTTTCTCGCTTTCTGCATTATTTTCTTTTGTTTCAATTATAATAATCATGATTGATTGATTGATTTGTTGGTTGATTGATTGACAGATTGATTGATCGATTGATTGATTTGATTTGAATTGCAAACATATCCGAATTCCTCATCTGAAACTGCAAGCATTTGGTTGTGATAAATACATTTAACATTATTTCCGTCCGTTATTACAACTGCTTAATAATGATAATAGTGGATGTCACTTATAAAGCACCACTGCAAGCGATCGAGACGTCATCGAAATCAAGAAATTATTAAAAACGTCAAATTTTTAAAATTCGAATTTTAAACAAACAAATTCAACAAAATATCGACCGATAACAAATAATTATTATCCATTATTATTATTATTATTATACACACTCCTTAGTAGATCTCTGAGAATGATTTACGTAACAGTAACATTTAGTAAGAACAGTTCACAGCATATTATAATGACTAAATCAACATACCATTTTTAATTACTTTTATTTGGTATAAATTTAAAAAAAATAAAATCGACATTACCGAAAATAATTAAAGGTTGAAAAAATTGAGATTCTTTGCATATCCCTGCTCAATCCATACGAAAGTGTTGTATATTGGTAAATATAGGCCCCCCTTAAGGCAAGCAAGTTAAATAAACCGACCACCCGACTTTATAAATTTACTTTTAAAATATTTTATTTTTTTCCGTGCAAACGTAGGTATCGCAATTAAAAGCTTAAAAATTGTGAATTAGGAAAAACTGGTACCCAAAAGACTATTAAAAATTTGTTTTAGCTTATTGATTTTAAGAAAAAAATTGACAAACAAAGTAGAAATTTTAAAAATCGCGTTCACAACCTGTTTTCATTTCAACCACATCACAATACAATTCAATTGACTTTGTTTGAGTTTGACTAGCTCACTGGTTCAAAAGTTCACTAATTTACAGTTTACAACACTAATTAATAATTCAATTTATAATTCTGGATCATCTGATCTACGTATTTTTTAACCAGTGTCGTCAATTTCAATATCATCTCATCTCTAAGTCTAACTAGACGAAAATTTAAAATTAAATTAATTCAAAAGTTTTTACTTTGCTGGACTCAAAGACCATTCATTCATTTAAACAAAAATAATAATTTTGATTGGAATATTAATAAACTCAATCTAAAAATGTTCAAGAGTTTGTTGAAAAAAATAGAAAAAGAAGCACACACGTCTTCAACAACACCACCATCTCCACAACAACAACAGATCTCAACAAACAATGACAGGACCCAACAACTGCAAAAGAAAAATACTGATGTGCTGTTGTTGAATGATCCAAACACCCAGCCTACCATCCACCGATATGGAGGTAACTATTATTATTATTATTATATACATATTTACACGTAAATGTTTAAGATGTATGTCGGAAGGAGACCATATTAAACCTAATATTGTGTGAGCTCTACCAAATTGCCAACAATTATGTAGAATTCCTACAATGTACTGTAAATTGTGTATATGTCCGTTATATAGTGAATTAGTACAGAGAAAGACTTAACATTAATTAAACATTAAGAAATATGTCCTGTTGGTTATATGTTTCGTTGAATAGTTTGAAAATCATTTTATGCAGATCGACATGTTGCGTCCACAACATCAACAACGACCTCAGCATCTCGTAGACATTCCAGCAACATATCATCTGCAGACAGCAACAAAGAATCCATAACTAAAAAAGATTCTAAAAGCAGCTTGGTTTCTAGTAGCAGCGGCGGCAACGGCAAAGATCTGAAATACTTAAAAGATAACATTGCTTCTAATGACAACGAAGAGAAAAAAAATGAAAATGTAATTGAGGTTATAAATGAAGATAGGAAACAAGATGTTGAGGACATTATTGACGTCAGAACTCAAGCTCCCAACCAAGTAGATGTTGATGATGATTGTGTTGTTGATGGTATTAGCAATGATGCTGACGATGATGTAGATGGTGATGATGTAGATTATGATGAAGTAGGTGGTGATGATGGTGATTCTAGCCACAATGTTTATATTTTAATCTTTCCTCCAAACAGAAGTTCAACAGTGAATGTGATGACTGCAGAAATATACTCCAAAGACAGCAACAACAACAAGAGCAACCACTACTAATTCCATCGCAACATCAGCTTACATTGGCTGATAATTTAGAAACATCGTCATCATTGCCAGCAGCAGCAGCGATAAAAATGTTAGCAAAATTTGTAGTATTGCAATAGTTTTAGTAGTAGTAATATAAGAAACATTAGCAGCTGTGGTAGTAGTGGTAGCTTCAGTAGGTCTAGTGATCGTAGTGGTAGTAGCAAATTTGTCAATATTTTCAATAAATTAATTTGTTCAGCAGGCATTTAGAAGAGGAGCTGAGTGAATCTAGGTCAACTATTGTTCAATTGACCAATCACATTAAAAAGGTCGTTTCATGAATAAATTGAAATATACTTAGGAATAATTTTATTATTCTTCAAAAAAATAAATGATTAATAAGTTTATCAAAATAAATTGTTTTTTTTTTTGGAATAATTTTATAAATATGTTCATCAAATAAATAGCTATATATAAACTTTTATTCAGAATGTTTTCCATTTTATGTATTAGTTTTTTTATTTAAAAAAAATTTATTTTATTCAATTATAGATATCTTCAGTGAGAAAGAAAGCTAGTTATGATGATAATGATGGTGATGATTATGATTGGTTGGAGAGGCAAATAGAAAGTGAAAGTAAAATAAGTCAGCTGATGGAGGAGTTAATCAGCTGTAAGGTAATTCAATTTTGTTTTAATAATTCATTTATTCAATCAATTCAGCTAGTCAGTATATTAATTCATTTAATTAATCAATTCATCCAATCAGTCAACCATTCAATCAATCAACCATTTAATCAATCAATCAATCAACCAGTCAATCAATCAACCATTTCAACCGACCTCTCAGTCAATTTTGTCAAATTGAACTCAACATTCAGTAACGTTAATTCAATTAGTCAGTCAGTTCATTAAACGTTTATTTATTAATTAATTCAATCATTAATCTACCATCAATCAATCAACCAACCAACTAAAAAATGAACCAGAAAAACATATCTGAGCTTGAGAGTGAGAAGGAACATTTGAATGTGAATCTCAGGACAAAATCCGAAGAAAATGTTCAGTTTAATAAGCAGGTTAAAATGATGATGAATATGATGATCATTTTTTTGAGTGAATGTCTAAAAGTGAATTTCTAAATATGTTGACCTTTCAAAATGTATTTTGACTTTGTTTGACCATTTGAGACCAGATGAAAGGGAGGGTATATAAAGCATGTGTGAGAGCAGCGATGATATATGGTGGTGAAACTTGGGTGTTGAGGAGAGAGGAGGAAAGTGTACTGCAGAGGGCTGAAAGAGCTATGGTGAGGATGATGTGTGGGGTTAAAGTGAAGGATAGGAGGAGTAGTACAGAGCTGATGTCAATGATGGGACTGAATGAGGACATTGTGACATTGATAAGGAGATCGAGATTGCGGTGGTATGGACATGTGTTGAGAAGGGATGAAAGGGTCGGGATTAGGCGAGCGTTGGAGTTCGAGGTTGAAGGAGTGGTAGGAAGGGGTCGTCCGCGATTGGGATGGAGAGAGCAGGTGGAGAAGGACAGGGTGAAAGCGGGGTTGCGTGATACTGAGGCGAGTGACAGATGTGGATGGAGTCGAGGGGTATTTCGGTTTCATCATAGGTAGCCAAGCGGCAACCCCCGATCTCGGGGAAAATGCCGTCTAAACGTGTGTTTGTTTTGTTTGTTGACCATTTGAGAGTGAAACTTGCGCAATTTAAATTTGTATATTGATAAACCATTTTAAGGTTAATTTTTACCTTCAACTGTTTAAAAAAAGAACTATTAAAGTTAAAATTTAATTTCAGATCGCTATGCTGAAGACTGAACTTGAAGAGAAACGACGAATTTTGAAAGATATGGAGGAGGATTTGTTGATCAAAGAAAAACTCTTGAGCGATCTGGAAAGAAGTTTGTCGTTTTGTTATACTTCTCTTCCAATTATTGCAATTGTTATAACGATAATAACAATTAGTACCGTTAATATTTATTTTTCAATAATTATTTTTCTAGCTTGATTTGATTTTTTTACAAACAGGTAACAAAGAACTGAAAATAAGTATTGATAAGTTGCATTCAACGAACAAAGAATTTGAAAAACAAGAGCTGAACACACGTCAAGAAATAATTTTACTACAACAACGACTCGAAAGTGTGGCGCTACAAAATGACGTCATCGTTGAAGAATTGAATGAGAAGTTAGCTTCATACGAGTTAGAGTGCTCGAGATTGAAGGAAGAAGTGAAGTCAATCGAGGATGGAGTGACGGTACGGATGAATAAACAGGTGGAGGAAGTAAATGAACAACTGAAGGAAAAAATAAAGGTAGTGATGACGATGTTGATGATGGTGATGCTCACGATGATGGTTATGATGTTCGTAATGGTGATGACGATGGTGGAAAATTTCGCCCAACAGGTAATAAAAAAGCAAGAGCAGAAGTTGTTGGATTTGAAGAAAATGTTGCATCGAGAGATGACAACGAACAACGCAACAACAACGACAACAACGAACAACGCAACAACATCAGCAGCAACAACAACGACAACATCATCCAACATCAACAACAACATATCAACAAATTTAAACGTTGCGATTCATAAAAATCATAACATCTACAGCAACAACTATGACAACAACAACAGCGTTGAATATAGCACTGACAGTGATTATGATCAAAACTATAGAACTATCCCAACAGCAGCAGCAACAACCTCATCATCAAAGAAGAACAGCAAAAACGTCAAAAATAACAACAACGACAACAACAGCGCGAACGGAATTGTACAGGATGATTTAAACTTCAAATATTTGAAGCACGTTCTGTTGAAGTTTCTACTGAGTAGAGAACATGAGGTAGTTGATGTTGATGATGTTGTTTCTGATGACAGTAGATGATGATGTTGATGATGATGTTGGTTCGTTCTTTCAGAGAGGGGCCACTCTGACAAAGAGTTGGGGCACGAAGGGTCGGAACTATTCATAACCTAACAAGATGACTAATTTTGATATGCCTTGTTCAATGTTACTTGTTGAAATTCCTAGAACAGCTTCTAAATAAATATTTGTCTTACAGTTTGTTCCTTAGTTTTAACTTAATGATACTCATAATTGAACGTGTCGCGGGCAAAATCAGGGCTTGCGACTTGCATCTGTCAGATCACGCGGGCTGGATGTTGTTGATGATGGTTGCAGCTGTTTGCCACTTCCGTTGTTGTTTTTTACATCTCTCAAACCTGTTTCTGCATTGCATTTTATTATACTTTACCAACTATTTCACTTTGAATCATATCATCGTCACTCCAACATCATCATCAAAACCACCACCACTAGCATCATCATCACCTCACAGGCTCTCCAGCTGATAAAAGTCTTGTCGACCTTACTGAGGTTCGACTGCAATGAGGAGGAACTGTTGAGGGAGACGTTGAAATGGAAGACCAGCTGGTTCCGCTCGAGGCCAAACATTCCTGAAAAAGGCCAAACCGCCATCGTGTTGCCTGCTTCCACCTAATAAAAAATATAAATTTACTTTTAAAAACTTATTTGTTAATTAATTAATATATTTATGTGTCAGTTTATCTACCTTACTATTCCTATCTCTCTATCCTCCCTTGTATTTCTATCTGTCTTCATATTTCTACCTATCTAACTGTCCACCTATCTACCATCCATCTTTCTATATAACTGCTATTAGAATACTCATACGTCGAGTATATAAATAATACGCAAATACTCGGTCGAATTCAAAACTTAAATACTATTTAAACTGCAAATACTGCTGCTGGTACCTCGAATACAAATACTAACTACGAGTTAAAATTGTCTAAATACCTTGCAGCCTTCATTTGGTGCAAGTGGCACGGCTAGTTAAAGAATTTACGTGCTCAATAAACCGATCGTACATTACACAATTTTTCTTTTATTTCAGCAAGAAAGAACTGAGTGAATCAATCATAGATGGTGTTGGATCGAGTAGATTGCCTTCCGTGGGATACGATTTCTCTCCGAAATGCAAGTTGAAATTTTAAAGTTGTTTTATGTGGGTCTGCCTGTAGTTTCGATAAGTTGTTAGTCCATTGAGGAATGATCGTGTTGATTCATCTCTGGGTCCAAATGTTCGACGCAGGTCAAGGAGGGCGTGGAAAGTTCAGTGTCCTCGTTTAGTGAATGAGACGCATTTTAAAGTATTGTCAGGGCCAGACCTAAGGGTCAGGATCAGACCAGGGTTAGTGCTGAGCTGCTTCGCTAGTTGAAGAAATGATGTTTCAAGCAAGCCATTGCTCAACAATTCACGACTGATGTTAGTAATTAATGTCAACTTTTAAATCAATAAACTATTCTTATTACAATCACAGTATATGAGTATTCATGCAGGAAGGAATATTTCATTCCTCACTCCTACTACAACTCATAACCCCAACAGCAACTTATCACTCTTTCAACAACACTGCCTTCTTAAATCTCACCTACCTTGAAATATTGTTCCATGTTAACACATAATGAATGAAGAAAATGAATGTTAAAATTTAAAAAAAGAAAAGATTGATTGAGTAAAGCGAATGATTGATCGATTGATTGGTTGATGAGAAAGAATGACTGAATGAATGAACAAACAATTGTTTGACTGATTTATTAATGAATTAATTGGTTGAATGGATGTTAAAGAGGATGAATAAGCGAAAGAGTGAATGAAAGCTAGTAAATATTTATATACATACATATATATATATACATACGCATATACATACATACATACGTATATTATTTCATAAAATAAGTGTTGATCAAACTTTGTAAAAACAATTTCAACGCTTAAACATGAATCATGCTTTCAAATAATTTGGCAATCTAAAATTGAAAATGTTAATAACCTAAAAGAATAAATAACTGTAACGTCATATATATATATATATATATATATATATATATATATATATATATATATATATATATATATATATATATATATATCATAATTTCTTATCTGGAGTAGGTGAACTAAAGTGAATTAACATTGAAAATTTGTTGAAATGTACTTCTTACTGTGTGTGTCCGTTTGCATGTAGCCAAGCATTAGAGAGTGTAACAATGAAATAAATATATAAACACACACACACACACACACACACATATATATATATATATATATATATATATATATATATATATATATATACATGAAAAAATCGCATGAATGTATATATAACCAACATTTTACGGTTGAAAAAAATACTAATGATGATTGATTGTTTAAAAAAATGAGACTTAAAATATATAAAATTGAAAGTGAATGAGTAATTGGATGAGTGAAACAAATGAATGAGTGACAGATTGAATGAATGACTGAATGAATGTTTGGAAGAAAGAATGGTGGATGGAAGATATAGAAGGAATATAGGCAATGTTTTATTCATAAAGTATATAAAGTTACTGTAAGCAATGCAATATTAAGCTTACGTTAATAAATAATAAGAATAATAAGTTATAATAAAAATAATAATATTAATAACACCAAAAATAGCTGAAAATATATCCATATATATAATATTACGACAGTCATTAACGGTTGTTGAAAAAAGTTTAATATCATTCCGTGGTTCATATTATTCCAATTATTATAACCAGTACAAGTTGGAACACTGTTCCAGGCTGGAAAATTTGGAAACGTAAAACAAGAAATGAAACTGAATGATCGAATGAGTGGGTGAATGATTGATTGGATGAATGAGTGAATGATTAAATGAATGATTGAATATTGTACCAGATATAAGCAGCACTACTAAATTATTATTACCATTATTTCATTTAACGATTGTTATCCAAAAATGGCATACATTTTTTGTAATATTGGCATTAAACTTCGAAGAAAATTAATTAAAATCATTGATTTTATTTCTCGTCATAATAAACCGTTTATAATATATATTATATTATTTATATATGTATTTATACCTGTGTATATACATACATATATAATTTTTATATAAGTGCAACAATGGATAAATAATATAAATTCATTCACTCACTCATCTTGCCATTCATTCGCTCAATCATTCATTCATTTATACACTAATTTTTTCTATACTGAAAAGTTCGTTAATGTTTCCATTCGTTTATTAGTTAGTTTAATCATTCATTAGTTAGTTCAATCAAGAATTCACTCATTCCTTTTATGCAGCGTATGGCATGCAAGCTTGGTTAAATACTTTGCAATGATATTGATTAAAAAAAATAATCAGTCGTAACATACAATAATAATAAATAAATAAAAAATGTATAAATACTGTCGCTAATCGCTAAGGATTAAAATTATCCGACCAATCAAATCTCTAGATTAGAACTTACCAGTTCATCAAACGACCAATCAAAAACCATCTAATTAAACCAGTTAGAAATAAGAAGGACCAATCAAAGATACGAATTTGCCACTACCACTACATTTTTAATCAAATTTCAGGTCTCAAATTTCAATTGACCATCGGCGACGTCAGTGAAATTTTAAAATTCAAACCTGACTGGCTGCCCCGATTACCGAATTTGAAAAAATTTGAATCTTGATTGGCTGGCTGTTCGTTCAAAATTCAAAAACTCAAATCATGATTGGCTGGTTCTTTGTCTTTTCAATTACGAAATTGGTGAAATTTTTGAGGAATTTTGGAGCCTCCCTCTTGCAGATGGCCTGTATGACAGACGACGGCACCCACCCGCCTGGATTGACTGTCATGATGATGATGATGATGAGAAGGATGGTGATGATGATGATGAAAATGATGTTGATGTTGATCGGGACGTTGATGACGATGCTGATGCTGATATGGTGGTGATATTCAATCGATCAATCCATTAAACAATGAAACAAACCATTAGCGGAATACTGTATTCTGCAGGTCAGTGCATCTCTCACCATCGTCCCATCCCAATTGGCTGGAGGTTGAACTATTGTCTGAGCTGTCATTGGTCAATTAATTGAGGTAATGAATTTAATAGCATGTGATTGGTTAGTTTAGATTCCATAAAAAACAATAAATCATACCTCTATTAAGACAACATAGAAAACAAAACGAGAACTTAACAAAAACAAAAAAAAACATAGAAAGAAAGCAGAACCGAACGGACCAATCATGGCGACGTTAAACTGTAGCCTGATACATTTCGGCAAGTCAGGGGGCGATGGAAGATAATCGGTCGAATGATTGGCTACGATCCAATAATCAGGGGAGTCCTCATCCTCCGGTGGGCAGTGGCGGATGGTCGACCAAAACATCGAGTCCCTCTGAGCGGCGGGCCACACACGCTTCAGTACCTGCGGGCGTCAGTCAGTAAAAGGAAGGAATGAAGATTCAATGAAGAAATGAAAGCCACACAACCACAACAGTCAACCAACACAACACATCACGTAACCAAATAGCAACAACGTGAAGAAGAAGAAGAAGAAGAAGAGAAACCTGGCAAGTGATATGTGTATCTGAAGACAGCCATTCAATGACTTCTGTCGTTTCGAGAGTCGACTCCCACTCCAGACGGACACTCGGTTCCCAGAAGTAGTAGCATAATTCGTGCCCTGTTATGCCCTGTTCCCATGAGTGTGTTGTGTGTGTGTGTTTGTCTCTGCATGTGTGTGTGTGTGTGTGTGTTTGTCTCTGCATGTGTGTGTGTGTTTGTCTGTGTGTGTGTGCGGTGATCAAACCAGACCAAAGAACGAAACAACCGACAATGAAGATAATTTACGAACAAAATTGAAACGAAACCTTAACAGTGTGCACAGCTTTGAGGGGGTAGACGACCTCTCCCCCGTCATCCACCTCCCTCTTGTAAACCTTCATCTCACCCTCGGAGGCCACCAGGGTCCAGGTGTCGGCGACGTCGTTGGCCGACATGTCTGCGTGCTTTATGTGGTCATCTACGATTCTGTTGATCTGTACACGCACGTGTGTGTGTGTGTGTGTGCGTGTGTTTGCGTGTGCGTGTTTGTTTCTTTGTTCGTGTGTGTATGTGTTTGTTTTCATTCATCAACTCATTAGTTGATTTTCCTTTCTTCTTTCTTTCATTACTCATTCATCCATCCAGCAAACCTTCCATTCATTACTAATAACCATGACGTCATAGTCTCATGTGAGAATCCCAATAAATCTTAATCTCTGTGAGTCAGTGTGTACCTTCATGACCATGCATTAATTCTTTCGTTTCTCCATTCTTTCATTCAATCATTCCTTCATTCAATCATTCCTTCTTTCAATCATTCTTCCATTCACATATTTCAAGAAACCTCGCTATATAATGGATGCGTCGGCTCCAGACATGTTTGTGGCATTTTCGGTGGTGGAGACCTCAGTTCGATGGTTTGTAACTTCAGCTGCCAATCATTCATTCATTCATTCATTCATTCATTCATTCATTTATCTATCGAAGTACTCATTCATTCATCCATCTATTCATTCATTCATCTCAAAAACTTGAAAGCAACACGTGACCAGACCTTTTCCTCTTCCTCCTTCTCCATCTTGTCCAAGGTGGCATCGATGGCGTCGAAAAATTCCTCGTCATTAAGCATGCTGTGTGGTCCTTCCTATCACGTCAACAACAACAATAAGAACAACAATAATGATGATGATGATGATGATGATGATGTTGCAACTGGCAACCTCATAGTCTGGTCCTCCTTTGATGACGGGCTTCAACTTTTCAGTGAGGATATGCTTGTACCCATCCTCTAGTCTCTTGCGCTTCTCAATCTCCTAATCAACATAAGAATGGATTCTCAATCTCCTAATCAACATTTTCACGCGAGTAACAACGACTAACAAGGACAAAAAGAGACAGACAGGCAAACAGAAAGAGAGACATGAATGCATACAATTAGAGTGACTTACGCTTCTTTGTATGACATGCACTGATCAGTCAAAACAAAGAAGCATTTTTTGTATAAATTGCCAGCAACTACATCAAAATAATAAGAAATGAAAAAATTAACAAAAACGCATTTTAATAAACATAAGTATGTTATGTGTAAAATTAATTTCTTTTGTTAAATCACAGCTATATAAATTTATACAGGCAGACAGACAGACAGACAGAGAGACTCAGACAGACCCTTTCAAGTTTTTTCTTCCAAGCTTCTTCTCTCTGGGACATCAGCTCAATACAATGCGCCATGGTGGCCAATATACCTAATAGCAATGAATGAATGAGTGAATACTGGATGAATAAATAAAAGAATGAACAAACGAACGAACGAATGAACGAACGAACCATGAGCTGTGGATTTGAAGTTGATAGATTCACCTTTGAAATCAACCGCATGGGCTCCATGCTGCCTCAAAACACTCACTGTGTTTAAATGTACTTCAATGTTTATGAAGTCGTTTGTTTAGTTTTTTTGGTTTCATGTATTCATTCAAAAATTCTTACAATTATCCAATAATCTCATTAATTCCTTCATTAATTCATCCATTAATTCATTCATTAATTCATTCATTCATTTGAACATTTTTCAAAATCAGCTAACGTAAATCTTTCTCATTATCTTTATAGTGGATTAGTCCATTGGCAACACTATCAACATCATCATTGATGATGTTGTCATGGTTACGTAGTTGGTTGTTGTTGTTGTTGTTAGAGTTGGATGACGATGATGTTGTTGTTGTCGCTGATGATGATGGCGTTGTAGTTGTTGTTGTTGTAGTTGTCATGTTGTTGTAATCATCAACCACACCATCTATATCATCTTGTGTCACTATTGTGGCAATAATTCATTTATCATTGAGTCAACATTGATTTTTCATCCAAATCATCATCAGCAGCAACAACAACATCGTCATCATCAACAACGACAACAACATCACTAACAATCATGTACAGTGTATTGAGTGACAACTGAAGCACAGGCGTCGAAATAATTTTGAAGGTTGTCGACCTGCCTGTACAAGGTGTCCTTGAATGTCTCCATCTCGAGTAACTTCTCTTGCAAGCCCCTCCCACGCTGTTGTTCATTTGTCAGTTGTTGTTAACAACGTTACGTGATTGGTCGTTGAAAACGAATAGTTTTTCATGGCGGGTTGAGTATAATTTGGATCATTACGTGATTGGTCATTGAGATTACATGTGTTTTTGAATGTTCAGAGTAAAGTAAAACTGAAATTAAACAACTCCGACATGTAAAGATAGAAAGACGGTGCAAACCTTGAAAGAGGATGCGGAGGCAGTTGATAAGCTGGCTGTGGAAGCCAATGAGAGGTGAGAACCGTGGCGACGTAATGAATTCTCGCTGCCATAACCCGATTCCGCTTGCTGCAATTCGTTGAAGGGAAGACATATTTATTGTTATTATTAGTAGTAGTAGTAACATTTATGGCATTTATTTGATGAAACATTTAAAAAACTAGATGATGGTGATGATGATGATAATAATAATGGTGATGATGATGATGATGACAAATATTATAAACTTTTCTAGTAGAGAAAAAAAATTTGCATATCAGCATCATCACAATCATCATCACAATCATCATCTGAGGTGAATAAGCAGCTTTAAAATGAACTTTCAAATGTTATTCAAATTATCTAGATGCTCACATGTTACTTGACTGCAAACATTTGCAATCATCACCCTCATCGTCGCCATCATCATCATCATCATAATCCTTGTTTTTGTTGTCAACATAATCAAAAACATCATCATCATCATCAACAACAACATAATTGTTCTACATAGACACAATTAGCAAATGCACATAAACCAGGATATAGAGAGGCACACCAGAATGAAAACAATCCCAAAATAACATCACCCACACAAACATACTCACAAAAGTTGCACCTATGTATAATAAATCAAGCAGTATTAATTAACAATCACCCAGATGAATTAATATATGCGCATATATTAACATAATTACCCTAACCCCAACCTTATGCTTCTCGAGAACGGCCATCCACTTCAATCTTTCCTCTGATGATTGGGCGCGAAGGTACCACAAACAGTCATTTATGCCAACATCAAATCTGCAATCATCAAACTCATGGGCCTGGTGGGGATGATTATGGTGATGAAGATGATGAAGTTGATGATTATAGAAAATAACTTTATAGTCCTACATTAACAAATGAGCTTTGAAAATCAATTATGTAATTATGAAAGTAATTATCACCATCCTAACAAACTTTTCTACATCATCATCACCATCATCATCATCATCATCATCGTTATAACTATCACCATCATCACCATCAGAGTTCTTTGATATGCTTCATATAAAATTTTAAATTCAATGTTCAAATGTTTGTGTGGTGTGCTGGTTAATGTCTATTATAACTTTTATTTTAACAAAAAATAAAAAAATGTTGCTGGAAAAGGGACATAAAACTCAAACATTACTTTTATTACTCAATATTAAGTTACAAAACAATGAAAAACATGCAGATCACAAAAATTCAACCACAATAAATTGCCTTTCTTGAAATATTTTTTATTTAAATAAAATTATTTTAAATATTAACCAACAATAATAACCATAGCAAAATAATTTCTCCAATAACCAATTAATCAACCAACAATTGTTATAACAAAATAACAAAACATGCTTAAACTGAATTTAAAATAGCAGTCTATAATTTTTCAGCAGAAGCTTGCTCTCTAATAAAAGTATAAAACTAATAGCAGATTATTTGAGGACACAGAACATGGAATTCAATGATCATGCCATGAAACAAATAATAACATAGCATTACACTGAGTACTGTAACAATTACACACTCACATTACACTGTAATCGTAATGCTATGTTAAACTGTTACATTGAGCATTGTATAGATTACTACTACTACTAAACTAACAAAAGAAATGACATCTGGATAATAAAACCATACTAGAAATGACATGATAAAACCAGGCTAGGAATGACGTCACAAAACAAGCAAAAGCAAAGCAGGACTAGCCGAAATAACGGCCTTCGACAGACTGACAGTTCCTCTGCAGCCCACAGAAGCTTCTTCCTCTGATTTGTAGTAACTGATCGTCCCGTTCTTCACGACGATGAACCTATCCTGCCAGCCGTGAATGTAGTTCGTCCACTTGCTCAGCACCCCACAGAGTTCCGGCAGATGGGAAAACTCGTCCTCCACGTCAGCTTCATCGTCGTCGCTGCCGCTCAACGCGTCCCTGCTGCTTTCATCGGCCATCTTTTCCGTCCGGAAAATGCCAAGGATGGATTTAATCTTCATTGCTTTGCGACTTCTTAAAGTAGGAAAAGGAATTTATGTTAAAAAAATCAGCCGTAAATAAAAATTAAAAAGTGTCGCAGCTTATTTATAACATTTTTCGCGTAATTGTCACATAGCAAAAATGTAGATATCCATTTTTAAATTAATCACACACGGTGCGTTCGCTTTGTTGTTGTAAAGGTGTGATTCGTTTATAGAAACCTTCGCTATATAAAGTTAATTCTATTTCATGCGATCCCTAGCTAACTCTATTTCTAAGTATTTTATTTTGGTATTCCACTAATACGAGCAAAAATATTAAATCGTCATAAATGTAAATGTCTATGAATAAATGAATAGTAAAAATTTTATAAAATTGTATAATTTTATGTGGACAGCTTAAACAGTCTCAAGTTTATGAAACGATTTTAACTTTTAAGTACTCTTCTATTCCGGGTTCAAACCTTACCTCTCTAGTCCTAATAGTAAGGAAAAGAAAGATTAAAGGTCTATAGCATTTTCCCTAGGTTCAGCTTCACCCCAACCCAACAACAACAGCACAGACATCGTTCGTCAGCTGTATTGTTATTAAAAGAGAGTAAAACTCCGATTTTAGACACGAATAGTTATCATTATGAACCATGCACTATTATTCAATTATTTTTTGGAATGTGGCGCTGATATTGCGAATTAAGTTAGTAGTTTGTTACCCAGATTCATGTAGTACTTAATTTCCAGAGCCCAAAAACGTATAATTTGGTAATAGAAATACCGAAGTTTTTGCTTATATATCTTGAATGGACCGAATGGTTATCATTATGTATTAATATATTTCGATTTTTTGGAAGGTGACGCTGAAATAGTGAATTAAGCTGGTAGTTTGTTACAAAAATCATGTTGCACTCAATCTTTGGGCATGAAAATGTAAAATTTGATAATGAAAATCTCGACGTTTTTAATATAGTACCTAGAATAGCTACCATTGTGCATTAGTATTACGCACGATTTTTTTGTATAATGTGGCGCTGACATAATAAATTCATTTATCTTGATTCGACAATCCTCAAATAGTAAGAGATTTTCCAGTATTCCTAATTTTAAAATTATTTGCTTCTCTTTTGATTTGAATGGTTAAACACGAAAGATAATTTTTTTAGATGAATGAATCAACTGAATGGTTGTTTGAACGAGTTTTTATAAAGAGTGATAATTTGGCTTTTCATCTTTGGCAAAACGGACAAGATCTATGGCAACACTTCGCCATTTATAAATAATAGCTCTTTAAATCGGCTTTTAATTTCGACATTTTTGACAATACGAAAATGATTCCGTCATAAATGTTCGGTCATAATTTATGTTTAATTTTTAACGATTTTGGACGATGTCTCAAGATAATTTGATAAGATACAAGTCGGCAAGGTGTTTGTTTGGGCGTCCCAGTGAAACAGAAAACAACTCCCTACTAGCGATGGCCGAAATGATGAGTAGAGAGAAGGTCTTCGTCGATGCAGCCGAGAAGTGGGGGTATGATTACAGATCCGGCAGACCACTTGAGAACCATCCTCGTTGGGAGTTTACAAATAGTCAACAAAACCAGCCCGTTGCTGAAACCAATACTCTCATCTCTTCTTCTACATCCAGTTTAACTACCACCACATCAACGACCACCAGCGAATGAATATTAATTATTGCTTCTAGCTTTTTTGTTTCAATGTTTCATCTTGCTCTGTATCATAATTTAGAAATATCATTTCCGCAGTAAATATTTATTAAACAATCTGTGTCACAATGTGAAAATAGTTTGTTTTTTCATTTACTGGTTGAGAATGTCTTCTCTTACATTTTGAAACGTTGTCCTCATTAATGATTTACAATATATTTTCAGCTTAAGTTTTTGTCAAAATTGTAGCTTAATTATAATTTTACATATACATATTTAATCAAATATAAGCAGATAAAAATGTTTTTATATAATATGAATCAACACCTTAACTACCATCAATGCTTCTTAGATTATTTATTATTTATTCACCTATTTAACATTTATTTAATTAGTTAAGTTCCAGGCTGAACATAAGTTATTGTTATATTAATATATTGTAAAGCAGCAATCAACAACATCTCTTAACAAGTAGTCTTATAGACTTCACTTGTTTCATTTCTTATTTATATTCTATGTTTTGTTTTATTTTTCATTTTGTTGTTTTGTTCAGTTTTTCAGTTATTTTATACAATTTCTATTTATTAGCATATAATTGGATAAAAAAACAATATTTTTGTACAATATTTTCTGTTACGAATACTTCTGGAAAGGTTTTATTGTTCAGTTTATTGAGAACAAAATGTTGATTTTGTTAATTTAAATGTTCATCCAGACAGTTCTTATTAGGATGAAATGTTCTAGTTACATGATCCATGCTATTTATTTTGCTTCAGTTTATATTGAAATCATTTGTTTTGGTTTTTTCAAATTAACTGCATTATTTTTGTTTTCATCATTTTTTTTCATTTTTCAACAAAAGTTAAAACAGTGACCAAACACGAAATTTGTTCTGTATATTTATCTAATCAAAATCTGTATATGGTCAAGAATCTGCTTAAAAAAGTGATAGATAAAATGAGAGAAAGAAACGAATGAATGAATGAATGAATGAATAATAAAACAATCTGAATGTATTTATTAACAATTGGCAAATGTACCCTATTTAGTTGAAACAATGGCAGCATAACGAAGTTATCACCGTGCTTTAATATCATATTACATTACGTAGCATTACATTAATTATATACGTTTCAATATGTAAAAATTTCCATAACATAGAGTTGAAGTTTGTAAAGATGAAATGTATTGGATTGCAAAAGCGAATTTAACAAGTGGGCGGTCACCAGACAGACAGAGGCGAATTGATTTGTAATGGAGTTTAAAAATCTTTCCACAAAGGCACTGTGCACTGCAATTAATAAATAGATGAATGAAAGAGTAAATAATTGATTAATTAAATGAAAGATTGGATGAAAGAATGTACGAACGAATGAATCAATGAAAGATGAAGAGACATCTGCCAGTGTTAACGTATTGCTATCAAGTTCTTTTGTAATGAAAATAAAAGTGCAATGTCAGGTAGTGAATAATTGAATGAATGAATGAATGAATGAATGAATGAATGAATGAATGAATGAATGAATGAATGAAGGGTAGGTGGGAATAACTGAATGAACGAACGAATGGCAAAATCTAAAAAATAATTAAATTCATAAGTATCAAAATAGAAAGAAACAACGAGGCATGGTGGAGTATGTCAGGCACCTTAATACAAATTACGAGATAATTGTGTTCGCAAGTTTATAATAATTATATATATATTGTAAATATATATATATATATATATATATTTATATATATATTTATTTATTATTACTATATATATAATAATAAATATCTAAATAATATAAATAGTGTTTAAGACACACTAGCAAGCCATCACCCAAATATTTTGACGTTTCAACGGACTAAAACTACTTCAGCAGCTGACTAGCGCTTACTTAATAACTGAGGGATCATGAGAATAGAGAACAGCATTTGAGTGAAATATGATGGCAGGAATGCAAGAGGGAAACATTAAATAGGCACATTCTTACCTGTTCATGACCACCTATATATGTATATATAAATACAAATTAATAAAACGTATATATAAATAAAAACAAAAAACTCGCACACACACAAACACACACCACACATAGCTTGCTAATAATGCTAGTTCATTGATAGATTGAGGAGTAATTATAAAAACCCTTCCATACATCTATTCTATCCTGATATGCTATATACATGAGCAAATGAATGTAAGAAGTGAATGAATGAATGAACGAATGAACGAATGAATGAATAAATAAATGAATAAATGAATGAGTGAATGAATGAATGAAGTTGGTGCAGCAATGAAAGTGCGAGTGAATGCTGAAATGAAATTGATCGTCAATCAGGAAATATTGCAGTTTGAAATGAATAATTAACTGGGATATGAAGGAATGATGACGAAATGAACGAACGAACGAAATGAAAAACAGTCTTAATGCAGAAAAAATAACCGCACCATTTAGCTATTGATTTATGACTTTTCAATATTTACCGAGCTGATAAAAACAAAATGAGCAATCCTATATTAATGTTAAAATATTATTGATTAAAATCATTAAGATGTAAAAAAAAACCCAAAATAGAATGAATTTAGATAAAAAATTTTAAAAAGCTCGTTTGGCAAACAAATGTTCGGACTAATTAAGTTTACATATTGAATGTTTGCTCACTGTCAATAAGGTTGAACTGCACTGTCTATCATACGAGTAAATGAATGAATGAATGAGTGAATGAATGAATGAATGAATGAATGAATGAGTAAATGAATGAATGAATGAATGAATGAATGAATGAATGAATGAATGAGTAAATGAATGAATGAATGAGTAAATGAATGAATGAATGAATGAACAAGGAACGGGTATTCGTGCACGGCTTGTTAATGATATAAAGAAACGTGTTGAATTTATTGAACAATTTTTACAGCAGATGTTTCGCGTTGAAAAGTATAACATATGGATGAATGAATGAATGAATGAATGAATGAATGAATGAATGAATGAATGAATGAATATGAATGAATATGAATGAATGAATGTATGAGTGAATGAATGAATGAAAGAACGAATGAAATGAATTAATGAAAGAGTAAATTAACGAAAAAACAAATGGGTGAATTAATATTATCAAAAGCAAAAAATATCTACATAGCACATGAATCTGTATTATTGTGATCACGTTATTAACCACCACCACCACCACCATCAGCGTCAGCAGCACCACCACCATCAGCGTCATCGTCATCTTGATCACCTAGGACAATTATTGTCGCTGATATTTTGATTGAAGTGTTTGTTTCCAGGAATGAATTGATATGTCCCATGCATGTCTGGTGGGCTGATCTTTGAGTGCCTCCAAGAAGACCACCTTTAATTAATTAATTAATTAATTAATTAAAATATCAATTAAATAGTTAATTAGTAATTTAATAACATAGTTTCAAATTTGAAATTATAAATACAATTAATTACTCGCTTACTCACTCACTAACTCACTCAATTGCAAAAATTCATTGACCAACCAGAGGCCACTATCTTGCGGTGAAATACAGACGCCAGTTCCTCTCCACCAATCATCGAGCTTGTACCAGGACCTCGTGTTCGTGCTGGCCTGCTCGTGCAACATGCTACACAGACGACACCAGAACTTCGTGTCGATGAATTCGCCCGTGCCTTTCCATCTGAAGTAACTGGAGGTAGTTGTGTGCGAGTGTGTGGCGTTGTGATGAAACCAACCAACCAGCCAACCAACCAGCCAACCAACCAGCCAACCAACCAACCAGCCAACCAACCAGCCAACCAACCAGCCAACCAACCAACCAACCAACCAACCAACCAGCCAACCTGTTATAAAGATCATCATCTTTATCCAACTTGTGTAGATATTCAGCGAGATGTTCGGGCGATTCGAAGTCATCGACGTGAATGAAAGATTCGGGTGGGGCCAATCGTTTGTAGTCACTCGGTCGAGCCCCCATCACGATTGGCAGAACATTATTGCTGGTTGTCGTGGTGAAGCATCCATCAATCACAAGGTAGTAAGAACAGTAAGGAGGAACAGCCAGTCAAAATCATTTTCAACCAATCAAAAACAACCAATCAAAACTACCCAACCAATGAAATCCCTCACCCCAAAGCATTAAGAAAGAACTTCTCAGTGATGTAATCCTTACAATTTGAGTTCTCGAAACTCAGGTAGAACTTGTAATCTTTCTGAAGCATTTGGAAGCATTCCTGCTCTCTATGCCTGGTGCAAGAAAGCTGGCCACAAGAACCGTATATGTCAACGTCTGATGACGATGATGGTGGTGGCCATGATGATGAGGATGATGATGATGATGATGATGATGATGATGATAATGGTGGTGATGGTGGTGATGGTGGTGGTGGTGGGAGTGGTGGGAGTGGTGATAATAATGACGGTAGAGATAATGATGATGATGGAAAGATAAAAAAATAACACTTGATGTGATAAACAGATGAATAAATAATAATCAAACCACCGACCGATCAATCATTCGACCAACCAGCCAACCAACCAACCAGCCAACCTACTAACTTATATGTTGAGCAAGCTGTTCAGCGTATTTAAATCTACCATTGGCAGCTACACAGTTAGAAACGAACCAGGCAACTTTTTTTGTTTTACCTTCAAATTTTCTTCTCAATTACAAACATGGCGATAACGATGGTGACGACGACGATGATGAGAATGAAGATGTAGATGACGAATAAATAACTCAACAAAACAACTAACCAATCAATCAACCAAGCAACTAACCACCCAACCACCAACCGGCCAACCTTTGGCATAGTTCCTGTCAGGTTTGTCGGGTAGTTTAGTGAAGTTGCTGAATGGCGTGAACCGTTCGTAGGGAGCATTCAAGGTTGAGTCGGTTCTATAAGTGGCCGTCCAATTAACTACTTGATCCTGTGTGTGTGTGTGTGTGTGTGTGTCCGTTTGTTTTGTTTGTAAGTACGTTTCTGTAATGTTGTTTGTTTGTGTTCGAACGTGTAAATATTTGTTGTGAGTATAACTGTAAGAATGAATAGCCAGCTACATCGGCACCATCACAAACAGCAACAACAACAAGAAGATGAAGGAGACCAACCTTACGAAAAGTCATCGTATGCATTGGTGATTCCAACATGAAGAGCATTGTTAACTGATTGCTAGTGATGCACGGACTGCTACTACTGTTGCTGCTACTACCATTGTGGCTAGAATTACTACTACTACTACTACTGCCACCAACACCTTTAATAATATCACCACCGTAATCTATAATGACATCTCTGTAAAAAATGAGATCAGCTGATTTTTTGTAACGGTGGTCATCGGTCAACAGACACCAGTTAATAGGACATTGGTGGTCGAGAAACCTCTGCTGACCTTCAACCATGTCGGCGTCAAGGCCATTCGGCATGAAGATCACTTTCATTGGTCGGGCTATGGCAGGGATTGCGTGATTGATTGATTGATTGATTGATTGGTTGGTTGGTTGATTTTGATTGGTTGGTTGATAATTTTTGTTTGATTGTTTGTTTGTTTGATTTTTTGTTTGATTGATTGTTTGTTTGTTTGTTATTAATAGATGAAGCTACATGTTTGCTTACACGAAACAAAAATAAAGAAAATCATTGGGGAAACGTTCTTCGAATTCTTTCACGCATTCATCCGTCTTTTTTCATCCATTCCTTCGTTCATTAATCCATCCATCTATTCATTAAGTTACATGAAAAAAATTCAATACCTCATATCATGTAAACAACAACAATGGGATTGCATTTCTATTCATCCGAGTCGAATAACTCAACAAATACAAAGATACAAACATTTATCAACTTTTGGCACTCTGTGTATTTGATGGAGAATTCTATCTTCCTGGTCATTGATATGTGGCCACAGTCTTCTTGATGGTGTATCTTTGTATTTCAGATACAAACTCCAACCTTGACTGTGTATTTATGTACGTACGTGTTAGTATTTCGTGTATTTATACGTGTACAAATTTGTGTAGGTATATGTAAGTTATGTTGCGTATCATGTATGAATATTATAGCAAAAATATTCTCAATAAAACAATTACATAATTTCCTCGTTTATATAATTTTGTATAATTAAGATAACTTATCACTTATCATCTGGTAAAATAATTTTATTCACACACACACACACACACACACACACACACACGCACGCACGCACGCACGCACGCACGCACACACACTCATACAGACAGACAGATAGGCAAACACACATAATATTTAACACTGCATGCAAAACTATGGATGCAAATAATTCACAGAGCATCGGTGTCAAGGCCATTATTTTTATGAAAGGTGACTTGCGAGAGATATATATCGCAAGTTTTAAAGACGTCGATAAAAAATGTTGGCCCGTTAAACAGAAATCTCATAAAGCAATTGCATCAGAGTGTAACAAACCCACTGCGTTTTGCAGCCATGCAAATCAATTACATTGAAGGAAACGTAATCATTCTATGGTATTTTAGACACCAGTTTAGAAAAGCTTCAAGTACGAATGACTTTTTCACTAAAGTTATAAGACAGTTATAACTCTACAAAAGGTACATCAATATTTCCAAAATGAAATTTCCAGCAAGGCGCGTTCGGTACCACACATTTTTAGCATCAAAGACGATTGATTGCGTTTCGCCACACCCATGTATCTTCTAAGCAACGCCAGCTCAAGACATTATCTTTAGGCTAAAAAATAATGGAAACCATAGCATTCCAGCGATTCCCGTTCCCACGCTCACCTACTATGAAGCAAGTCATTTAGAATAGGCAACAGCAACGAAATTAAACACCAACAGATCAAAACGTGCTTGCTTGGTGCGATTGTTGCTTCGTGGCTCTTGCTTCACGTTCGGTTGTTTTGCGTCAATAATTCGACTTTTTTCTAATACCAAAACATTAAATAATAACAATAATAGCAGTAACAATAAAAAACATGGCCTCAGTTATAATTGATCGCAATGACAAGTACCCATTATGTTTCTCGTGCTGGTGGTCTGTGTGAGGAAGCATGGCTTTGAACTCATCTAACATCTTTTTCTTCAGCAGCGTTGCTTCATTGGTGTTGTTGTTGTTTGTAACGTGAAAAGAAATGCCTGCGTTGTTGTTGATATTGTTGTTGTTAGAGTTGTAGTTGTTGACAATGTTATTATTGCTTCCTACAGAGGAACCTTGTACGCGATCGAACACTGGCCTACTTCCTTGGGCTTGACCGTCATCAGGGTAGACAACGCCGTTTTGTTCATGTTGTTGCTGTTGTTTGTGATGTTGTTGCGGCTGGACCGGATAATGATGTTGTTGCGACTGACTGGCGTCGAAATACAACAGCATAAAGGATCTGTTGGTTGACGAAAAAAGCACAACGACAACATAACTGACCACCCAGATGAGGCCGGCGTACAAACAAAACCTGGTCTTTTTCATCGGTTCACAGGTTACTTAAGTCAGGGACGACGGTTACCAGGTCAAGTTCTATTACATATATATACATATATATGTCAGCAAGCACCTCCTGAAGAACTATTAAATAGAATAACGGAATGAAAGAACATACGAAGAAGAAGTAATTGAATGAAAGAATAATGGACGAAGGGAGCAGCGAATGAATGAATGAACGAACTATCAATAATATATGAACTAATGAAAGAATGGACAATACGAATGAATGATTGAGTGAAAAACAAACAGGTAAATGAACGAATGAATGAGTAAATGAACGTAATAAATGAACGATTGAACAATGAATAAAGATAGATCTTGACTATGACCTTATTAAACAAACAGCTAACAGCTATATGTAAAAAAAACCTATAAAATAATTGGTTTGTTAGTAAATTTTTATGATTAAGTTAATAATAATAATATCAAGATTTTATTTATGTGAATTGTATAATTATACAACTTATTACTGCTCAAATTAATAATTTTAAATATTATTATTATGATGATAATAATTATTGCTGCTTGTCATTTGGCACTACAAATTTAAAACAAACACATATTAAGATCATAGGACAAAGTACATATATATATATATATGTACAGATGTGCGTGATGTTTGCTTATGGATGAGCAAACGAACGAACAAATGAACGGACGAACGAACAAACCAAAAAACAAACAAAGACATAAAAACCGACTTACAACAACTGATGAATATAAAATAAAAATATTTATTCAATATTTATTCATTTAACCCGGCTGGTATAAATAATAACAATTTGTGTATTTATGCATTAGTATTTTTGTTTGTTTGTTTGTTTGTTTGTTTGTTTGTAGGCATGCATGTATGTATGTGTGTATGTATGAATGTTTGTATGTGTGTATGTAATACTATGTATAGTATATATGCATGGAATACTAATTTAAATAAATTTACGTTTTTAACATCCAGTCATCAAAAAATTTAGAAAATGTATGCGGATGAGTGTGTGCGTGTGTTTGTGCCTAAGTGAATTTTTTGATGTGACATTTCAAAGTGAGTTGATGGTACTGATGATGTATCAGCCATCATGTATCATCATAGTCATACTTTAAATCATCATAAATATATGGCATTGTCTTCATCACTATCACCATGAATATGAAAAAAAAATTGGGTATAATTTTTAGCATAATGGCTGATGTTGGGAGAAATATGATACATTTGAATAAATCAATAGCCAACAATACAACTAACAATATACTGCATTTGTCTGTTTGTATGTAGGTATCTATGTATTTCGTTTCGTGTGCGTGTATGTATGTTTGTATGTATGTATGCATGCATTGGTGTACAAATACATGCACACATGTTACTAAGTATGCATGCATACGTACATACATCCATACATTTAAACATACATACAGCTGAATGCATATTACATTTTTTAAATTTTTATTTCAGTGCATGCACAAAAAATTGTTTGAAGCGTAGCCGATGACGACGAAGATGATGATGACGACGAAGATGATGATGACGACGAAGATGATGATGTTGATGATGAAAACTATTGAAAAACGTCCACAGGTGAACGGAAATTTAATGTCACCCCATTGTTTCCTACATTTTTTTATTTCATGTTTTCTTAAACATGCACTCGTAAAAAAGTGCGTCCGTGTGTGTGTGTGTGTGTGTGTGTGTGTGTGTGTGTGTGTGTGCATTTCTGGGTATGTGTGTGTGGTGTGTCTATCTAATATCTGAACAAATATAATTTTTCCGCTTTTATTTAACCTTTTTGTTTGTTTAGTTCGGCGAATTCGCACATACTTTCAGACATACACACGTACAAGCATACATATGTACGTATATACATACAAACAACAAGCATACATACATAAACACATACAGACATACACACATACATGCAGACATATGCATGCGCTTATACACTCGAGTTTATTAATACATACTACATAATCTAGATGATACTCAAGATAATTCACTGTCTTCTTATTATTACTAATAATAACATTATTATTATTATTATTATTTTACATCTGGAAATTTAGAATCAAGCACTGCTAAAAACAAAAAAATAGACGGCAGAGGAAATGAATGAACGAATGAATGAATGAATGAATGAAAGAACAACTGAATGAATGAATGAAATGAATAAATGATGGCATGAAGAAAAGATTGAGTATATGGATCAATAGAAGAGAAAATTAAGCCTAAATTTGGCAACAGCATTAGTAGTAGCAGCCGCAGTAGTAGTAGTAGTAACAGCAGGAATAGTAGTAGTAGTAGTAGTAGTAGTAGTAGTAGTAGTAGTAGTAGTAGCAGCAGCAGGAGTAGTAGTAGTAGTAGTAGTAGCGTTCATTTTAGAAGTAGTAGTAATAGTAATAGATGTTTTATAGTTGCAGGTGTTTAGAAATTTTTGTGATGAATTTTCAAAGACCTCAAAAAAAGTCAATAGGACCTATGTAAGCCTGCAATCAATAATGAATAGATGAAATAAATGAATGAATGAGTGAGAGGAAGAACACAAATGAATTATCGAATGAAAGAATCAACGAATGAATGAATGAACGAATGAAAAAACGTACGACTGACTTGATTGTACACCAACTTCGCAGTCTAAAAATTTATTGTCGCAATTAATATTATCTATATATCTCGTTGTTATGATTTAGTTTTTTTTTATCGTGGTGTCCATCTGGTTAAAATTAGCAGTTGAAAATAATTGCTGGGCTGAAACTGACGATGCTGCTCATTAGGATGACGATCAAAATGATAAAGACGATTACAAAGTAGCAACAATAGTTGGACGTTGAAACAATAACAACCACAGCAATAAACAACTGACACCTTTCAGGGATCCAAAAATGTTTGCCTCGCTTACAAAAGTAAAACTGCCTTCGTCAGCGTTCTAAATATCGCTATTTGTTGGTATATTATTTTGATCTTAATTATTACTATTATTAATACGCTGTCAACTACATAACTCAAAAGAGGCTCTTCATCGAGATATGATTAGATAAGTACTTTATATATACAAACAAACACACACACAAACAAGCACATAAACACACACACATACATAAAAATAGATGTCACGTATAATATACCTGTGCAGTAGTAAGAACGTTTTTCGTTATTGTATTTCTTCATATTTATTGTTTCACCATTTACTTTTGTAGTGATGCTAGCGAGATGCTTTTAAATTAAATGACTTGCTGTTGTTGGCTTGATTCTTGCATGTCTAAGTGCTTAACGCACCAACCAATGAATGAATGTATGAATGAACGAACGAACGAACGAACGAATGAACGAACTAACGAATGTGTAAAAGAATGAATGGGAAGATGGATGGAGTGATAAACGACCAACTGGTGCACCAGAGAATGAATGAATAAATACAAATAGAAACATTGGATAAATTAACAAAGATAAATGTATTTAAAAACCGTTAATGATAAGCAAATAATTGAAAGCTATCACTTGTAACAATATTTCTTTATCTACATTAACATATACATAAACAAATTTTAAATAACAATACATGGTAGATAATAAATTGAACATATATGGATGGATGGATGGATAGATGGATGGATAGGCAGATAGATAGATAGGTAGAGATAGAAGATAGATAGATGGATGGATGATTAGATATATATATATATATATATATATATATATATATATATATATATATATATATCCAATCAACCAACTAACTTATTATTAACAGAGCAAGAATGTCCTGTCTTCTCTTTCAACTGCCTGCCAAATACTGATGGTTAATGTTATTGTATGCTAACATTCATTTGGTAGATCTTGAAAGTTTCATTTATATACAAATAGCTTATATATACACACATGCACATATACATACATACAGACATTGTTATTGTATATACATACATACATACATTATATTGTTGATAATCATAGAAATTAAAATGGGTATATGGCACATATAACATAGAGGACTTACCAGTGATCCTATAATTACCTAGTATAAACAAATTTTAAAATAAATAAATATATTATGTGTGTGTGTGTTAATGTATGTGTTTATTTTATTGTATCAAATAATAAATAAAAAACACAAATCCAGCCTGCCTTCAAATATGGGATTGGAATGACTAGTGTTAACTGCTAAGAAAGACTAACTGCATGCACATAATGATCTCATCTGATCAACATCGACTTCTGCTAGCTTTCCAGTTCATTCAGACTTTTGGTTAATTTTTTTATTTATAGATATATGTAGAGATACATAGAGATGGATTCATAAAGATACAAATACCCACAGACTACATTTTTAATACATTTACCATTTACATACAAGAGTAGAGTATCAGTATATAAAAAATAAAAAGATACATACATGCTTAAAAATATTAATATACATCGATCATATCAATAAAATTATAGAACGGCACATCAGACACCTGAAGAATCGCCATCACACATCCAACTTATTACTTATCTAATCAATCAACTTTTCCCAAAAAATAAAAGTTGAGATTGTTGAAAGAATAAAAAAGCACCAAAACCAAAAAACAAAAACATACCTCATGATGCCTTTTATATGGCTTTTTTATGTAGTAGTGAGAGACCAAATCTTAGTTAAAAATTAAATGCTGAAAAATTTATTTAATTATTTTAAAAAATATTTGACCATTTAAAAAAATATTTATTTCAGGAAAAGAAAAAAAATTCATACATATTTATTAACTATTCTTTCATATTTAAACGCAAACGCGGAGCTGTTTAAAAGTTGACGCAAATTTATTTTAAACCCACTGAAAAAATATTTGGGGTTGCATTTCAACATCAACCAAAGACGAGACGCACCAGCCCGAAACTCTTTTGAATTAAAACAATTTACCAAAAAAAAACCCATCAAAATTCAACAAATTCATAAATGTTGAAGTTGAACAACTTTAAGCAATACATTTACTTCGAAAATAATGAAGTTTAGGTTGAAGAATGATTGAAACATCGAATTTTTAATCATAAATACAACTACAAATAAAAACCGACCAGATGATTTAAAGAATGAAACATCAAAACAGCGAACAGAGGGAATAATAAATCAATAAAATGTTTGTAGAAATAGTAATTTCTCAATAATCTGAAACTGAATTAAAGTAATAACTAGATTTTGTCAAAAATACAAAACTCATAAAAGTTTAAATTTATATTAACTCATTAATTATTAATTGATGATGACGATGACGTTGAACGAAGAACAGCTAAACATTATAGCAAATAAATGAACAAACAAACAAACAAACAAACAGGCAAACACTTAATCATTGGAATCAATCAGACCACCAACAGTGATAATAAGTTACAACGTAAAAATTGAGAAAAACACATCAAGAACTAAAAAGTGTAGAATGACATTTCAGTCAATTAGAATTGAAATGAGTAACAATGATTATAAATTAAATGCCCAATGTACGTGTGTGTGTGTGTGTGTGTGTGTGTTTGTGTGTGTGTGTGAAGTTATAATTTAATGTAATTCCCGTAAAAAGCTTCTTTCAAAATCAACTCTATATAAAAAGCCATAATAATATCAATGCAATCTATCAAGGTAACAAAAATTCAACTTGAAGTCATTTCACAGATACTAAAATACCATTGAGAATACTGTTAGGAATAATTAAATACGTGACTATGTAGACAGACGCAACACACACGCACACATACACACACACGCACACACACACATACACACATATATATTTCAAGATCATTAGTTGGTTAGGCAAGTTAACAGAATAAAATGGACAGTCTGACTAATAACAAACAAAAAACTAGGAGCAAATACAGTTAAAAATAATATGGCAAACATTGTTGATAACAGAGCAAAGCACTTTATACGGTAAGCACGTACATGTATGTATATTAAATCTATTAAATATTAAATATTAAATCTTTTTATAAATGAGTTAACTACTTGTAACGGCGCGAAGAATTAGCTTAAATGACGTCCATAATGAATATTTCACACAATATTTCAATCACATCCATTCTAACATCCAATAAAATAACCTGACGAAAAATAATATTAACGAATAAATAATTAAATAAATAAGATTTTCAAATGGAAAATAGGTCGCTAAAAAACACATAATCAATTGAAAAGGGTGACATATGAAAAGCAAGGATATGTAAAAAGAAACATGATATAGCATGTATATATATTATTATATATAAATAAAGATATGTGTGTGTGTTGTTGTTGTGTGTGTGTGTATGTGTGTGTGTTTGCGAGAGGCACCAGCTGCATTGGAAGACGAATGTCGTTGTTGAATGGCTGATCTTTGACAAATTTGAAACCTCCACCACTTTAATCAGCCCCATTTATCATCGTCACGATCGTCAGCAGTCGTCGCCATCTTCACCATCACCATCATATTGCCCAACATTTTGTTCCCCAATCAGTTCTTCATTTCGCTGTTTATGGAAATTTCCGACGTTGTTGTTGTTGTTATTATTATTACTATTATGCTGCTGCTGCTGTTTTACGTGATCTGATTGGCTAGCTGATGACGTCACAACACTTGGTTGGTTGGCCGATGGTGACGTCACCGCATCAATCATCTTAACAGTCTTCAAGAGGGCAGTCACATTGTTCACCATGACCTGTATCACAATTTCAACATTAACAAGGAAGAATAAATAAGATAAAGAGAAAAAAACGAATTAAAAAAGTACTTTTCGATACCAAGTCAACCAACCTTTGCAGAGTTCCTAAGAGCCTCCATACATTTCCCATCACAATCAGCACCACCAGCGGTATCATCATCACCACCAGCACCACCTTTGCAATCATTACCAGAATTTGTTTGTTTGCTGTTGTAGTTGGAAGCATTTTTTGTGACTTCAATTAAGTTGGACAAGGAAACCGCTACGTCACGAATTGCGTTGATTAGTAAAACCTACGTGATAATGATGATGATGGTGATGATGATGGTGGTGATGATGATGATGGTGATGGTGATGATGGTAGTGGTGATGATGATGGTGATGATGGTGAATACAGAAATGCTGACGATGAAAACGACGTTGATAAAAAAAATAATTTCTAGAAAGCATTTCCTAATAATTTCTAGCTCTAGCATGTATCATCATTCACATCACTCATATCATCATCATCATCATCCTCATCTGCACTCATATCATCATCATCATCGTCATCATCATCAAGACCACCTTTTGCTGGGTGTACCTCCCACCCAAACAAGCCACACCCCCCTTCACGCACTCAGCAAGTTGGGTCATTGTCAGGACGGATGATTCCGCAGCTCCTTTCATTTAGTGTTTGTGTGTGTGTCTGTGTGTATTTGTATGTCTGTGTGTGTGTTTGTTTGTGTGTTGGTTTGTTTGTGTGTGTTTGTGTATGTATGTTTGGGTGTGAATGCATGAATGTACATTTCGCATTATTATAATAAAATTAAATTATAAACACAATTATAAAAACAAAATTATAATATTATTATAATAACAATGTTTTATGTTATTATGAAATAATTTATACTGCCAATTAAGAATTTTTCAAGAGCGCCATCACAAAACTTTATATAAAACTTCAAATGAAATAAAAACAAAAACCGAAAAAGCATCACAATGCAAAATCAAATAAAAATGAAAAATTTTCAATAGCATCAATCAATCAATTAGTTTATAAAGCGCTATTTCCGCGATGTTCAACAGCGCTCCTCAATAAATTTTGCAAACAGATGGGTCTTGAGATCCGATCTGAACTTCGCGAGTGATGGAGAAGTAGTCAGAGGAGGAGGTAGAGAGTTCCAGAGAAAAGAACCAGAAAATCAAATGCAGATTTAGCAAAAGAGTGTTTAACACGAGTTAAGAAGTAGTGAGAACAAGAAGACGATCGTAAACCGGCGCTTTTTAGTTCAATTAATATATCTGATAAGTACTTAGCAATAATTTAGATTAAGACTTATACATAAATGTGCAAATTTTAAAAATTATTTTATATTCTATAGGTAGCCAGTGCAAGAGAACAAGATGTAAAGATATATAAAAAAAGAAAGGGGCACGAGCAACTAGACGAGTAGCAGAGTTAAAAGCTTTACTTAAAAATAGAGTGTAGAATCATGAAGACCATAGTAGAGCGAGTTACAATAATCAATCCTAGATAAGACTAACGAAGTAACAAGAAGGAGAAGAAAAGGATCGTCAAGAAAAGGCAAAAGTTTTTTTTATTCTACGTAGATGAAAGTAAGAACTTCTAGCAACACTATTAATCTGAGAAGAGACATGCTAGAATCAAAGATAAAACCTAGACTACGAAACTTGTGAGAAACATCAAGAGTTTTAGAATCAGAAAAGGAATAGTAATAAGGTGCTTAGATTTATTGAAACGAATTAATTCAAATTTAAAAAGATTAAGTGTGAAAAACATAGAGCGGGCGACAATTGAAGAAAGACAAAGAGATAGGTTATTTAGAAAAATATTGAGATTGGATGGAGAAAAAGAAATATATATATAAGAATAATCAGCTTATAGTTGACTAGTGAAAGAAAAATTATTAATAACACGACTTCTGCTCGAAACAACGCAAACAAGTCATTTCAATCCTGGCGACTTTTGAAAAGCTGTTATAATAAAAGCACCTTCTCAAATGCAGCTGCACCATCTAACTTGTACACTGGCAGATATAGAAACGAAACAAACAGACACACATACACACAGACAAACACACGAACACAAAAGCATACCAACCGGTAGTAACTTGTTGGCTGTTGCAAGCGACAGATGAAACTAAATGCTTTGTATTCTCAACCAACGTCTTTGCCGTCCTTAATATTATCTCTCTGTACGAAATTATTGTGCATGTGTGCGTATGTGTGTGTTTGTGTGTATATGTGAGTGGTGTGTGTGTGTTTGTGTGTGTGTGCTAGCGGTTGTGTGATGATGAAATAATTATTAATTCAATGATAGAGAGATGAGAAGAACAACACAAGGACGGCAACCCAATATTCCTGACAACAGCAAGTAGGTACACACCTGTGCTGAGGAAAAGACTTTACAGTAGTACCACGTGATGTTGATGGTGGTGGTGATGATGATGGTGGTGGTGATGATGGTGATGGTGGTGATGATGGTGGTGGTGGTGCGGGTGCGTTCTGAAGGGCGATGGAAGCATCCAGATCAGTGATGATTTGTGAAACTTTCGAAGACGCTTGCACATAAGCCCGTGTGTACGATGATGATGATGATGATGGTGGTGGTGGTGAGAAAGATGGTGATGATAATGATGATGAGCGAGGTGGTGGTGATAATGATGTTGATGATTTAGGAAGTGGAATGGGTGGTTGTGGTTTGACCGGCGTCAGAGGTGATGATAACGATGACGATGATGATTGGATGTGATGAAGAAGTTGCTGGTGAGATTGACCGATGGTTTCCTTCAATTCATCCAGTGATTCCTTCAGTTCATCATGGGCTTCCATTAACTGTGACGATGATGACGACGACGACGACGCGAAAATCTGTGTGATTCAATTGCCACGAACACCAATACCATCAGCAAGTGAATGATGCAACTGCTACCATCATTCATAATTCACATCATAATTCACATCATAATTCACATCATAATTCACATCATCATTCACATCATAATTCATTCTCCACATCACCTCCTTCACAGCAGACAAAAAGTTCTGCATAGCTTCCACCACAGTTTTCGTTTGTTGCAGGAGCAGCATTTTCGTCTCGTGCTTCACCAGACTTCTCGTGTAAGCTGTTTGAGGTCATCATCGTCCTCTCCGTCATCATCATCATCGTCGTCGTCAACAACAACCACATCATCACCATCATCATCATCATCATCCTCACATATTAACTGATGAGTTGATTAACTAACATATTGAAGAAACGATCAACTCGTCCAAAGTATCTGAGAACGGCGAAACCTGGTTGTCATGGTGATGACGAAGATAATGCTGATGATGATGGTGGTGGCGTGGTGATGATGATGATGGGGGTTGGGGTGGTGGTGACGATGATGATGACAATCTCCACAAAGACCAACCAATCTACCGAGTACTTCCTCCTTCCATCCATCCATCATCTTCCTCTCACTTCCCATCACCACCTCTACTTGTTCTACAATTTTTCCAATAGACTCATTCATCACCTCCATCAAATGTGATGATGAAGACGACGACGATGGCGTTTCACCATGTTGTTGTTGTTGTTGTTTGTCATCATTCATTGTTAGGCAGGCCTGATCTGAAATCGGAAAGATGAAAGTAAATAATGTAGTAAAAAATCTATTTTTATCAACCAGTGAGATGAGCCGACCTATTTTATTGACCCAGATATCCGCCCTCCTGATGACGTCACTGCATTGCTTACATCCGGGCATGTTGTCTCGCAGGAGTAGTAGTAATGATTTTATCGATTCAGAAAGATGGTGAGAATTTTGAGAGTAATCTGTGAACGATGGTGACGACGACGACGATAATAAGGACGACGATAAAGATTCTAAAAACGGTAAAATCGAAGATAATAAATATGAAGTAACCTTGGAAATATGCATGATCTTTGGATGGGGATGTTAATTTAACGGCGGATGTAAACAAATTGCAAGCATTATCAATCATTGAGTGTCCCACTTTTAAGAGGACATCCTGTTTGAAAGTTCATCATCATCATCGCCACCTCTATCATCATCGTCGTCGTCTTCCCCATCATTTTCCTTTTCGTCATCACCATCATCATCTTCGTCATCATCATTAATATAAATACCATCATCATCATTACCGCATCCTTATCATGTGACTACTAACACGGCCGCCATGTTGGTACGACTGAACATAGATAATTAATTCCTGCAAAGACTGCAACAGCAGAACTGCTTCTCTGTTACATTTGTCCATGTTCGTTTCTGTTTTGTCAGCATCTAATATCTTTGGTGATGGTGATGATGGTGATGATTGTTATGTTGAAGATTATGACAGAAGACATTATAATGAAATGATGGTAGCAACGATGATGATGATGAGGAGGAGGAGATGGAACGACCTTGAAAACTAACCTTGATAGCTCTGACTAGTGCGGCCGTGTTGTTGGCAACATTCCTGGCATGTTGCACCAACAACTTCTTGGCCACAGGGTCTTCCGTGGAGGTTGAAGTCAGCCGACAGATGTTGCAGACCGCGGACGTGTGGCGAGCTATCAACGATGCTGATGACAAGATCTGTTGTTGTCGCGTGTGTAAGTTTTGCCTGAGTTATTTTCCTCTCTCTCTCTCTCTCTCTCTCTCTCTCTCTCTCTCTCTCTCTCTCTCTCTCTCTCTCTCTCTCTCTCTCATACACACTTTTTCTCTACTCTTTCCAACTTAAATATTTATTATCAAACAAAGTTTCACCATTTCATCATCAATCTTTCCGACCTGCTGTTGTGTATTGTTAAGGTTTTGAAGCGTACTGCAAGCTGATTGGATAGCCTGCTGTGAGGTCACGAGTTGGGATTGGTCAATGTGCAAAGGAGGAAGAGGAGGCTGTTGAGCGTCAGGATACATTCTCAGCCTATCAGCAGCCTGCATTTAAATGTCATGACCATTATTATTACCATTATCATTGTCACCATCACCATCATCTTTTCGACCTCACCATCATCATTATCGTCATCACCACTAACCCCGGTCACGTGACAAACAATGGAGATGATGTTGTGAGTGAAGTTGATGATGGACCGACGAAATGATGAAAGATCATTATCATTTGCACTCCGACTCAAAGCTGTTATGTCCTGTGCTAGAGACTGCATGGTTCAAGATGTATTTTATATCTATTTAACCATCGCCATCTACGTCTCTTTCGTCATCATCATCATCATTGATGTCTTCATAATCATTCTCATCGCCATCGTAATCGTTACCATGATTTTAATAATAAGGAAAGCAACCTTTGATATCACAACAACACCACTGACACACATTCCATATGTGGCTGTTGCAGTAGCATCCGAGATGTTGGTTGTGGCTGTCGTCATTGTTGTTGTTGCTGCTGCTGCATTCATCTTCTCATGCAGAATCTTCTTCATGGACTGCAGGAGAGATGCAAACAAAAAGCAGTCTCTAGCTCATCCTCCCAGCAAACATTTCAAAACTTTTGAAAATTTCAACAGCACAACAAACAACAACCACAACGAAATCGACTCATTACGGTCGTCAGCAACAACCGCACTACTATCATTATTATTATTACCATGAGGACGTCATAATGAACACAACAACAACAAACAGCAACATCGTCAGTTGAACATGCCTCCATTCTAGAAAACATTTCACTGAACTCCTCCGGTCTTCCTTTAATATTCTCTCCATCGTCATCTTCATCCTCTCCATCACCATCGTCGTCGTCACCATGGTTACCGAGTTGTTTGTCTTCCATGTTGCTGACCAGTTGATGCACGCTTTCGTTTACAGCTCTGTTTTTGAGGAATAATATAAAATTTTTACGCATGCATCGCGTTCGAGAGCTACGATTAGCTACAAGCTGAACGCCCCTTCTGAAGAGCAAAGTAGAACAACCCACCTGATTGCCTGCATCAGTTGATCATTCGACTGGGAGGTGGATGGATCGACGATCAATGATTTTATTGCGATGAGGAATCTTGACGACGCCTGCTTTATTCCTGGCAGGTTGATGTTATTATCGTCATCTACCGACATCAAAACATTTCTCCTTCGTGCTGCAGCTCTGACAGACACGCAACTGCTCACACGCTGCACTTGTCTTAAACTATCCAGTCACACAAAAGATCTTACCGTTCACACCACACACGACACCACACACGACGACACGACACCACACCCAACGACATCACACCACACCCGACACGTCGCCACACGACACCACACCACACCACACGACGACACACCACACGACACCACACCACACGTCACGACACCACACCACACGACGCCACACCACACTCGACGACACCACACCATACGTCACGACGCTACACTACACCACACCCGACGACACGACGCCACACCACATCCGACGACACGACACGACACCACACGTCACGACGCTACACCACACCACACGTCACGACACGACGCCACACCACACCATTCGTAATAATGACACCACACACACCACCACACGACACCACACCCACCAGACGACACCATACGACACGTCACGACGCCACACGACACGACACTACACCACACCACATCAGACGACACCACACGACACAACACCACACCCACCAGACAACACCACACCACACGTCACGACGCCACACGACACCACACCACACGACTCCACACGACACCACATCACATCACACGACATCACACCAAACCCATGCAAGCGCAAGCACCGCGTCATACAATTTAATACAGAATAAGTTATTAATAATTGTAAAAATAAACCACCTTTTAAATCCCCCTCATCAACAATAGCTCCCTTATTCCTTGTGGCTGCTCCTACGATCAGTTGTTCGTAGGTAGTGCTGAATCGGTTCATTGCTGCAGCTACTTTGCTGCTTGAAGACGTGGCAGCTGCTACAACATCATTGGCTGCTGAATTGAAATCAACAGCCGAGCTGCTCAGCTGATGTTTTGACTGGCCCCCTCGTTTTCTGGTAGGCAGAGTCTGTAAAGTAAATGACAGAATCTTGTTGGCTGGTATCTATTATTTCGAAAATTATTGAAAAGTTTGTTCACATACGTTTAGTCAATTTTTTGAATAAAAAAACAATACTTTAATCGATTGCCAATATGGGTATAAAAAACGGTTTTTGATATGACTAGTTGCGTTATTAGTAATTTGGAATCAAAAATTCATACTGTACGCGTATTTATTGATTTTAGAAAAGCATTTGACAGTCTAAACCACAATATCTTAATTCTTAAACTAAGTCATTATGGATGGAGTACGAGGGACCCCTCTAGCTTGGTTAAAAGTTATTTGACAGGCAGATTTCAATTTGTTTCGATTGATGGTTTATCATCTGCTACCCATTAGGATGGGCGTCCCTCGGAGGTCAATTGTGGGTCCACTTTTGTTTAATTTGTTTCAAAATGACATTACCACTTCATCTTCCACTGCCAAATTTTTTCTTAACGCTGATGGCACAAGTATTTTGCTTGAAAGTCCTTGTTTAATGGATCTTGAAGAAGTAATTAATCACGAGTTAGTTGGATGCTATTTTTGATTAAAGTCGTGTTTAATAATGTGCTTATTATTTTTAATAAAACATTGTTCTTAGTATTTGTCCCTAAAATAACCACACACCTATTTAACTTTGACATATAAATTGGCGATAATATTATTAATAGGGTTCACTCGATAAAATTTTTAGGCGCCACTACAAGCTCTGATTTTGCATGGTCAGACCACACAACGCATATATCTTTAAATATCTCGAAAACGTCAGGAATTTTAAATAAATTAAGAAACATATATCCTTTTGCTGTAACTAAAATGCTCTACGATTCATTAATATATCCTATATCCTACTGGATATATTGCCTACCAATTTGGAGCAACAGTCCGTATCGTCACTTATCATTAATAGTTAAATGTCGGAGACATTTTCTGAGAATTCTCTATAACCTAAAAAAATTTGACCGTGTTTCTCATTTATAATTACTACTTTATATAAATTTTATTTACCTGTATTTTTTTTTTATAAATTATACATAAATAATGTTTCGCCCAATGCTAAAAGTCGTTTTGAGTTTTAAATCTAACAAGAGTGGGCATTTTAGAAACAATAATGAATTTAATTTGCCAGTTTTAAGAACTAAATTATTGAAAAATAGCACCCTAATATCTGGCCTTAGTTTGTGGAATAAGTTACCACTAGATATTCAGCAAATTACCTGTTTTTCAAAATTCAAGTCCAGTGTCCGCTCCCTGTCTATTTCCATATCTCTTTAATCTTTTGTCTTACATACTTTTTTCATCCTCTTAAAATTTAACGATTTAATAACTTTGTTATTATTTAATGTTTCTCAACAATGACCTAATTGTTTTCATAATTCTCAGTATGTTAATATTTAACATTTAATATTTTAAATATGTTAATTATATTGTTATAGTAATTTTGACATTTAATTTTTGCTTGAACCATTTTTAATTTTGTAGATATATTAGTTACCTTACAGACTCTGCTGAATACGGGTTTCTGGTTTACTTAATAAATATTGGTTTAATGGAAGACTCGTGTGATCGTAATTATTAATTACTACAATTCTATCGACCTGCTGGTGTATAGTTACATTATAATTGCTGATGTATCTGATGACGTCATCGACTTGTTTGACGCCTGGCACGCAGCTGATCAGCTGACTGAGAGCATGTGACAATGATTTGGCCACCTGTTCAATTTCAACATTTTTAAATATGAACAATTCATTTTAATTATTTATTTAACACAGTTGAATTAATTCTACACATAATAAGAGTAACTTAACAACAAGTTGACCGAAACGAGTTTCGTTTGTCGATCCGTCCCGGCACATTCCTTCAGAGCCAACTTTGCTTCAATAATTAAATTTTTTGACTTTTCCAGTACATCACTGCCCAGGTCCATCACTGCTTCCTGTAATGTGACGTCATGAGGGGAACATTCTACGATGCCTTTGACGGAATTAGTTAGTGAAATTAGGGAGGAGATTGATTCATCAGTCGACTGGTGGGTCTCTGAGGTTCGTCCCTGTGTGTGTGCGTGTGTGTGCGTGCGTGTGTATTTTGTTTGCTCACTAACGCATTTAACTGACTAAATATTATTAAATTTAAATTAACTACTATCAATTGACTTAAAAATGAATAAATAAATCAATCAACATGACATGAATGAATGAATGAGTGAATGAATGAATGAAGGAACGAATGAATGAAACAAATGAAACGATTGAAAAGAAAGCACCGACCAGCCAGCTAACCCGTAAACAGACAAGCAAACCTGAATAGCATGAGTTAGCATCCTGGCCATACATGAGCCCACATTTTTTGATGAGGTGCCCAACTTATTAAACCACACCTGCCTTTCTCTCTTCATTTCCTCACTATCTCTCTCCTCCTTCTCACCATCACAATCTTTTTCCACCTCAAATGCTCTCAAACATGATTTGAAAGTTCGAAGTTCATGTTGGGCTTGGTTGATGGTTTGAAGGTACAAGTCCATCGGATCAGAGGTCAATGAAAGAATCGAACTACATCTGTTCATTATTATTATTACTATTATTATTATTATTATTATTAAATAGCTGTTGTCATCATCATTAAGAAGTTGTTGAATGATTTAAATTTAATGAATGGTTGAAGGTAGATTAAAATTGATTTCATTACAATATGAATGAATGAATAATTGATTGATGGATGACACAAACTTCTCGACATCCTCTTTCAAAAGTTGCATAGCTTCAGTCAGCTGATCAGCCGAGCAGCTGAGATGATGAACAGCTGATTCCTCCATAATTGTAGCAGCTGTTGCTAAAGCAGCTGACAGCAGCTGTTCGCAGGGCTAGAAAATTGTTTTTTATCGAAAGACTTTTAAAAGTTATACCAAATCAGAAAATAAACAATAATTACCGATAAAGCTTTACACTGAGTGCAAGAATTAACATCAAACAAATCAATAAACTCTCACATTAAGCATGCACTTGGAAGTGTTCACCAGGTCTGCTAAGATTGCTTGTTGCGTTTCTACTTCATCTACGTTGTTGCAGCAGCTGCTGCTGATGTTGTTGATGGTGACCACCGAAGTTCTTAGCGACTGAACTGCTTGCAGTATGTTGTTGCTGGATATCTGTAAGCGATTATCATGATGACATCAATTACAACAAAGACCTCATTAAAACAACATCATCATTAAAACAACATCATCAAGAAGAATAACGACAACAAACCATCTTGCAAATGTTGAGCAGTTGTTGCTGCATACGAACATCCCTATTATATCTTCCTATTCCAGCACACGTGTTCATCATTTGTGTCGTTCGAGTTGTCAATCTTCTCAATGAAATCTGTTGTAATTGGTTGACTGGTGGTTAGCTGGATGCTGATTTGTTTAAATGACCAAATGTCCAATCAATCATCAAACAAACTACCAGCCAATCAACATATCAATCAATAAACTGTCAATAGTCAATCAACCAATCAACCATCTGACCTGCAAGCACCATATGTGATCAGCTGTGCTATCTTTAGATGAAGCAATCTGATTGGTCAGAATTTTGAGGTTCTCGGCAGCTTTCTTGAGGTTGTCATGTTTCGATGGCTCATTTGGAGTTATGGCACATCCCTAAATTTTGAGAGAAGTGGGACCAACTCTAATCAATCAATCAAACTGAAGAAAAAATTCAACTAAATAAAATATTTTTGTACTTCTAAATATCATCCACGCCACCATCATCACCATCATCATCAGCAGCAGCCACTTAATAAACGATAAAAACCTTGGCAGCTTCAACCATCTTGGTGGTAGCATCAGCAAGCTCTTTGGCAGCAGTGAGGAGCTTGTGATGTTCCTCCGAGTTCTTTCTCTTCATCTTTTCCTCCTCCTCTGCTTCTAATTTCAAAGCATTAACCAGCTGTGATGTCGCCTGTGAGTGTGTGTGTGTTTGTTTGTTTGTGTGTGTGTGTGTTTGTGTGTGCGTGTGTGAAATGTGTGAGAACCAAATGAAAATTTCGTTTCGTTTCGAATGTACAGTGAGTGAGGTATGAACTGACCATGGCGAGCAGTCTTGCTTGTTGAATCATCACCTGCGTGTTGTTGATGTTCATGCAAAGTTCATCTGTTGTCCTAACAATCACTGCTACTTTGTTCGCCTGTTTCAAAAAACAGAACCATCCATAAACATCGTCACCATAGCAATCGAAATCAAAACATCATTATCATCATTCTCTTTGACACTAACTTTATCAAACGCTTTATTAGTATAATGCTGACGACAACGAAGTGACGATGTAGTAACGTGGTCGATCAGCTGTTGCACGCACAACATCACCTGATTGGCCGCTTCGTCCAGCTCGTGTTTCGTTACGTCATTCATCGCACAAGATTCCTGCTCGTTGATTGGTCAGTTCATTAGCAATTACACTCACCCATTAACTAAATTTATTCATGTTTGTAGTAATCAATTAATGCCTTCATCAACATTCTACCATCATTCAGTATTATCAAATATACAACCGCCATCTTCGTCGCAATCATAAACACCTGAATATCTCGGACAGATCGCGAAACTCGATTGGCTGCCTGAATGATTTCGCCTTGACATTCATCATTTGATTGGATGATAGGAGCTACAACCTGACGACAAGCAACCGATCAAATTAAACCCTCAGCAACAAACAAAACACAATAAATAAATTAATTAATAACAAATTTAAAACTAATTAACAAATAAGAAGTGACCAGGAGAATGTAATAAATTGCTGAAAAATAAATTTCAAACCGAAAATATCACCCTACCCAACTCTAAAAAAAAAACGGAAATCTTTCACTACAAAAATCTCTGATACTAGTTCCATTCCATTTCCTCTTATTTCATTCTACTAAATATAAACATTACCAATTTGTTATTGATTCTCAGTGAATAGTTCGTGATGGGAGGTGATGAAAAGCAATCCTACCAACGCATGTTGTTTCACTGAGGTTGAGATTTATTCGTGAAATTTCAGTTACTGCGCGCAATGAATTTATTTTAGAATTCTATTTTTTGGTCACCCTGCTTACTTATTTACAATTTTTAGTTAATTTTGAAGGAGCAAAAGAAAATTAATTTCTTTTCAGCCAGCCAACCTTAGCACAAGCAACTAGCTGTGATGTACGGTGGGCACAGTTTGTGGCACAGCTGATTATATCTCTCTGCTCCGATTGGTTGGTTCTCTCGCAAGCCACACCCTTTACTTTCATCATCAGCACGTTTGTGGCCATGGCGACAGCTTGTGAGAGGTTGAGCAAGGTGTTCTGAGTGTGGCGACGATGGAGTCGAAGATGATCGAGAAGACGACGACGATGATGATGAACATGATGGGAAAATAAAAGACCCATCACTGCCATCAACTCATCAAAAGCATCATAACCATCAACAACATCTTCAACACGATCATCATCATCACCTTGTAAGAATCATCAATGCCAGCAGCGTCAGCAGCCACGTGACTTCGTTCGATCAATGAGATGAGTTTTTCACTGGTCTCCCCGATTTGACTGGCGAAATTCAGCATGTCGTGCTTCGACTGAGTGGTGGTGGTGGTAGGCAGAATGTGATTTGATTGCCTTAACATTCAACCAACTTATCAGTGCTTATTCATTCATTCGTCTCTTCCCTTATTCATTCACTCACTCATTCATCCATCCATCCATTAAAAAGGGCACATCCAGGGAGGCACCTGATCACAATGAGGTTGTAGGTTGGAGAGGAGAGCGTTGAAGGCATCCACAAGTTTCCGAGCAGCTTCCAACAACTTGCTCCCGTCCTCAACTTCATCCCCGCTCATAGAGGCGGCCAACTCGTGAATGTGACGCGAGAACCCGCAGATGTTCGACGATCTTTCGATTAGGGAGAAATATTGAATTGGGGGAAACTTTTTAAATTTGTATTGATGTAATGTAGGTATTATGTGGTCAACTTTAAATGTTCCAATCTGATTCTGTAATAAAATGACCACCAACATCATCATCATCGTCACAGCCCACTAACATGGCCTGGATGGCTGACCCGACAGCCACACAATCAAGGCTGCTATCACGGTCGACATCCTCGCCAGCCTCCACAGGACGGTAATGATGATGAGGAGGAGGAGTATGAGGGTGACGTGATGGCGACGTCATGAGATTGATGATGCGAGCCACCGCCTGATTCATGGCGGACATTTGAGAGCGCATGTTCTGCAGACTCACATCTCCAACCGCCTCAGATCTTCTGGCATCCTTAGGCTCATCGGAAGTAAGCTTCAAATGATCATCACCACCACCACCGTCATCATCACTACTACCATCATCATCATCACTACCACCACCATCATCATCACTACCACCACCATCATTTTCACAATTAAAACAACAATTATTTAGTTTGCAGTTTCAAAAATCAACAAAAGTCACTGGAAAATGAATCACATTGAACTTGGGATTAATACAAGTAATGAAACAGTAGACGATGCTTTTACAAATAGACGACAATCGTCGATAAGCTGAAAAATAAATGAACATTTAACACTTTTAAACATTTATGGAAAGTATCTCAAGATCCCAGGACAACAGATAAGAAGGATTAGGAAAAATGTATTTTTTGTTTACGAAAATAAAATAGAGGGTGACGGAGATAGATTGGTGATGTGATTGTACACAGAAAAGAGCAGAAATTCAATTGAGACGACATAGTGAGGATAAAATATGAAGTTATTTGCGGTTTGGCAAACTTAGTTGTTCAAAATATTTTGCAATACGCTCATTTAATAAGAATTTTTAGGAAGAAATTTTGATTTTAATCTTAGATTTTGATCTTAGGAAGATAATTCTGAAGAAATATAAAGTTAAAGCAAGGAGGTTAGTCTTGCAGATTATACCCCATGTAAAGATGCAATAAGTTAGATAAGACGAAATAAATGAATTATATAAGGTGAGTAAATCATAAATTAGAAAATCTATCTTGTAATGATCAATTAAACCTAAAAAATATACATTTTCTTAGAAATGAATTGAATATAATCAGACTCGAATAGCGTAGAATTAATATTAACGCCCAAAGGTTTTATTGAGTCAGCTAGCTTAATTTTAACATCATTTAACAGCAAATTTAAATTGAAGACACAAGTACGAATTTATTTCAAGCTCATCTAACATAAAACATGTTTCATCATTATCACCATCATGTTAACAACCACCACCACCGTCAGCGTCATCAGTACCATCATCCTTGATTCATCCAACACGTTCAGACCGTCAGTGATTACAGACAGGAAAGCTCTTTGCCTTCTGGCTGATAAAGAATTCTGTTTGTGATAACGCGAAGAATGACGAGTTTGATTTTGTTAAAGATATAACACAATTTATGTTTAATAAAAAATGTAAGCAGAATCGTAAAGTGAATTAAAATAAAAAAAGAGAAATTTATTTTCAAAAAAAATTTAACACCGAGTCACAAAGAAATTATCTTGGAAAATAAAAATTGGAAAATTTGAGAAAGCTGAAATTTGATAATTTCGACGAAGAAGATGTGAGTATCATTAACAGTCAGCCACTAACATCACACTGATCATCTCCATTCATGAAAGCTCTGTCCCGATTGGCCGACGATTGATGGGAATTTAAGTCAACCTCGTCATCATTGGTTGCTCGCATAGCAACAGATTGGTGGATCATGTTCGCCTGACCTACTTTTGACGTCTGGTGCTGAATTATCGTTGCTCTGGTGGGTAGGTCATGATGTTATGGAGATTAATTACGTTGTGGTTGAAATCATAATACTGATAATGATAATGACATGACGTGACGATGACATCATCTAACTTGGCGGGAGCAACGCTGTCTTCATACATAGTTGACTCCTCCTCCAGACTGCCTGACTGGTAATCCTTTGATAGTTTCTGTTGTTGTTGGTGGCGACGATGATGATGATGCTATCAACAACAACAACGACGACAACAACAACAACAACGACGACAACCTTCTTGAGAATTATATCAATGTAGCCAGCGATCAACCTGGACATCTGCTCACCTTCCATTGTCTGTACTGAATAATATGCGTCTGCATAATCTCCAAAGTCCTACATTATAATTATTATAATTATTAATAATATAATTATTTATTTGTTTATTCTTATGTGTATCATAAACTTTTCGTTAATTGGCGCGGTCGTTGAATTTTTTTCATTTGTTCATTGCCTCATTCAATCAGCCACTCATTCAATCGCTCATTTATCCAAATATTTCTTCATTCCTTCGTTCGTTCGTTCGTTTATTCGTTCATTCATTCAATCGTTCATTCATAATCCATTCTTTCTTTCATTCCACGGACCAGTGTGAATGTATTTGGGGAGGCGGCCCATCTTCTGACTGTTGTCAGCGGCCACGTCTTCAATATCTGACGACGACGACGATGATGATGGTGGTGATGATGACGAAGATGATGGTGATGACGATGATCGTGGTGTTGATGATGACGATGGTGATGGTGATGATGGTGTTGATGATGAAGATGGTGGTTATAAAAATGAAAAACAAGATAAAGATTTAGAAGATGACATGGATGAAGATGGCGTTATTTGAAAGATTACAATGGGAATATTTTGTATCATCGTTCATCGCCATCGTCGTCGTCACCTCTTTAGTTTTCTCATCAACTCTGACGACGCTGTCCTTTGTAATGCCTAGCAAACGAGGTACTAACTTATTCTTACCTTTCAATTTTTCCTGTTTGTTTATATGTACGTATGTGTGTGTGTTCCTGTATGTTTATATGAACGTATGTGTGTATGTGTGTATGTGTGTGTGCGTGTGTGTGTAACCTTAACAAGAAAGAAAGCGATTCCATAAGTTTTTAATGATCTGGCAAGAGTGTTGTATGCAACCTTGCAGTCCACCTCGTTAATGCCTGCGTGTTTCTTGTGCTCCTGTTGTATGTGTGTATTTGTGTGTGTGTGTTTGTGTGTGTATCTATGTGTGCGTGACTGTGTGTGTGTGGGACACGAAACTTCTCACTGTAAAAATCTTCTTTTCAATTCCTTTCACTTTTGAATATTCTTTTGGCAAGAACTCTTTCAGTCTAAAGATGATGATGACAATGATGATGCTGATAATGATGGTAGCAATGAGAATAATGAATTCGGTGGTGACGATGATGATAACTACAACAAAAAAATGACCAACTCAAGAAATCCAGGTTTATGCTTGTTTGGGTCATAATCCGAGAACTGAATGTGACATTGCAGGCCAGCAAATTGAATGGCCTCTTCTAATTGGATGGGATGAGCACCATTCAAAATGGCGTCTCTTGTCTGGTTGGTTGATTAAATAGAAAATAGGAAGAGTTTGCAGTTTTTTATTATCAATTCTAACCAGTCATCAAAACCGAAAATTAAACTATAAACAACCAACCAACCAGCCAACTGACCAACCAACCAACCGACCTGCACATAGAGCAGATTCAACTGTATAGGATCACGTGCATCAACATTCTGATCAGAGAAAAAATATTTCCTCATCAGCAATAACGTTTCATTGGCCTCAACAGATTGTTCTCTCAAGGTTTTTGTGTGGTCCAACCAATTCACTATTGTGTGGTTGGTCGATTGATTCATTGCAGGGTTGGTTGGTTGGTTAGTAGTTTGGATGGTCGAACAATGGAAGATTGTTAGATTGATTTAATTGCTGAATAAGTAGTTGTTAATGTTGTATGTGATTGTAACATTTCAACATTACAAACATTCATCATCGGTATGAAGTTTCCTCTTTAACTCATCCAGTTTCTTCTGGTTCTTAGCAATGGACCTACCTCTCCGCATCGTCATCGTCACCTCCTTCTCCACATCCGTCAGTTCGTGTACCAATGAATACTCTTCGTGGTTTGATATACCTGCGTGTGTGCGTGCGTGCGTGTGTGCGTGCGTGCGTGTTAGAAACAAAACATGCAAATAATTATAAAACAAAAAGCTTAAGAACACAAAATTAACAACGGTGACAATGGCGAACCAATCTTGGCACAGATGGTGATCATGAGTTGTTCAACAGTGCTGCTGTCATCCAGTTGTAAAGTCTTCACCGTCCCATCCAACATTCGGACTTTCATCAGCCTCAGTTTACTTTTAAACTCCAACAGGTCCTAATTTCAGTGTCGTGTGTGTGCATGTGTGCGCATGCGTGTGTCAGTACAGAGAAATTATTTCAACTATTTTCTCCAACCAAAATTAGCTTATGCATTGATAACCAGGATTTAAAAGAACAAAATAAAGTTAGGCAGATGTTGTCTATATGTATACATACACATTTTACTTACTCCGTTTCTTAGTAGATAATACTCAAGGGTCCTTCCAGGTTCCAACCAAATACCTTTTTTAGGATCGTCGTCAGTTAGGTAGAGGCCATATTGACTGCTTGCTAATTTCAATGTTCATTTTATTTTATTTATCAGGTCATCATCATCATATGGTCAGCTCATTCAACTAAGATAATTCTTGCATAATAACATTTTGTCATTTCATTTTGAAACACAGCTAGCTAATAATTATTATCATCATCAACATTAACATCAGCATCATCACCATCAAATTAATCTTACAGTTGTTAGCATCGTCAGTTACGCTTTCACTGTTGTTGTTGTTGTTAATGATGAGCATCCTAGCTTCCGGAAGTTTCTGCTTGATGATGGTGCAAGCGTCGAATGCAATGGTGGACGGATGGAACTGCATGGTGCGAATGACACCTCCACCCTCAACCAACACTTTCAATGTTAAGTTGGCCATATTGATGTTGTTGTTGTTGCTGTTGGAGTATAAGCAGTTCTACATAGCAGAAACCAAGCAAGTAGCAGACTGTGATGATGGTGGAGCCTAATTGGAAACATTTCAAAAATTTAACCAAATAGAAACAAATAAACACACACACACACACACACACACACACACACACACACACACACACACACACATAATATTCATATATTCATACACAATTGACTGATTAACATTAAATATTAAATGACTCAATAAATGATAAAATGAAAAAATAATTATTTGATAAAATAAATGAAATAAACAAATAAGTGAACAAACAAAAAACATTCAAATGAAAACAGTTAAGATGATAAGATAGCTAGCTAGATGGATATTCATATGGCATGAAACAACATTTGATTAAATGTTTGCATGTGCCTATGATTGTCTGTATATGAATATATGTATGCATGTATTTATGTGTATGAATGTATATATATATATATATATATATATGTATATATATATCCATTTTTTAAATGTTGTTATTTATGTACAAACATGTGTGTCATGTGAGTGTTTACATGCATATGCATATATATAGTATATATTATATACGAACACATTAATCTGTTTGAGTACAGACCGGTTTTTCATAAATAAAAAGATCATTCACCAAGATAATTTAAATTTTAAATGGAAACATTTAGTTAGATATATATATTTTTTATATAATTACGAACTTTCTAATCTAATAGAAATATATATTTATAATGATTATAATTTATAATCATAATGTTATTTATATTAACTAACTTACTAATTTATTTGCTTAATAACCCATCAAATTTTAGTTATTTCCATCAAATTTGCAATTAATAACGCCCAGTTAATCCAAAATTAGTTTTTTACTCAAAATTTTAAAAATATTTTCTGAACTCAAACAAATCAATCAATTCAATGCAATTAACACACTTTAATTTAATTAATTTAAATTTTAAAACTTTTTAATCCAAATAAAATGTGAAATACAATAATCTAACTAAAAGTAACACTAATTAAAAGCCCAACTCTCTAACCTTATTTTTATTTTATTTATCAATCAAACTTTAAAAGAAAGGTAGTCTCAAAGTATGCATTTATTAACCAAAACAAGATATAAAAAGGATTAAGTTAAAATAAAAATAGTTTAAATTAAACATTTTGGAACTTTTCATTTTGAAAACTTCATCCCGAAATATAAAACTAAAAAAATTTGGATGATGAGAAAACGAAAACAAAACTCGAATGGCGGAGGTGCCTATGCATATTTCACATTCGACTTTCTTGGATTGCTGTCTTAATGGTTTACTTATGAACCATTTATATATACATTTGTGTAAATGTTGGTAATAGACCATAATTTTTACAATATTCTATAAATTCTACCGAACATTCGGTAGAATTTATAGAATATTTAAATACATTTGTGTATATATACATATGTATATATATATATTATTATTATGATTGTTATTAACGGGGTTTAAAGTGGTTCAGAAGACTATGGTCTGTGTAAAAACTACTACTAATTAGATCTCCTAATATCCTATCTGTCCGAGTTTGGCTTTGAAGCTGTTGAGTGAAATCGCAGAGACTGCATCATCGCTTAGCTCGTTCCAGGCGTTGACCACTCTACTGCTGAAGAATCTGCTCTTTATTTTTCCATCCGAGTTTTTGATAATCTTAAATCTGTGTCCTCGTAGTTTATCACTGTTTACTAGCCTGAAAAATCTCGAGTATGGTGTTGTTTCCCTATTCGTGATCAATTTATATGTTTGGATTAGATCTCCTCTACATCTTCTTTTTTCCAATGATGTCAAGTCGCATTTTTTCAATCTCTCATCGTATTCCATTTTCCGATTCCTCTAATCATTCTTGTAGCTCTACGCTGTACTTTTTCCAAAACTTCCTTATCTTTCTGCATATATGGGCTCCATGCTTGAACACAGTACTCCAGATGAGGTCTGACCAGGGTTTTATACAGTTTCAGTAAAATATGCTTCTCTCTGCTGACCATTGTTCTTCTTATAAATCCAAGATCGTATTGGCTCTGGCCAATACGATCTTGATCGTATTGGCTCTGGCCAATACGATCTTGGCCAGAAAATATATATATGAGAAGAAATTATAATTGGCGGTAAATATAAATATTTGATTTGATTATATATATATATATATATATATATATATATATATATATATATATATATATAGTTGGATGTGTAATTATGTAGTAATCTATTTAATTCTATTATATTTTAAAATTATTTTGTCATTCTGAATACAAAAATTACTGTTGGCCAGGTGAAGTACAGTACCTTACTGAAGCCAAAGGTGGCTTACTAGGATTAAACTATTGTATATCTACGTAAAATAAAAAAACTTTTGCCTTTTCTTGACAATCCTACTCTTCTCCTTCGTCTTATCTAGGATTGATGATTGTAACTCGCTCTACTATGGTCTTCCTGATTCTACGTTTCTAACATGGAGTACTTCAAGAATATCATCTATAACATTTGTGCCTTGCTATCGGTTTGTTTGCATGGCATGTGTGTTTGCATGGTGTGTTGGTTTGTTTGTCTGGTTGTCTGTATGTTTAGTTGTCTGTCTGTCTGCCATCATCATCATCTTAGTTTGATTGCTACCAATTTTTTTTATATATACAATACTATGAGATCAATCAATCAATCAATCAACCAATCAATCAATCAACCAACCAATCAATTAACCAACCATCCAACCAACCAATCAACCAACCAATCAATAAACCATTCATTCAATCAACTAATCAACCAACCAATCGACCAATCAATGAACCAAATTGAAAGAACCAAATGAACGAAAAAAAAAATTAATAAAAAAAATTATTTGCAAGGCTTGTTCAAACTCGAACAAACACTTAACTGTACAGATCTACAAGCAATTTCGAGATTTTAGTAAAGAAAAAAAACACAATAGTTGCTTTTATTTGAAATCATTCAAAAATGAAAAGTGACGGTGAATTAAAATTTTAAAAACGTCAATTTTTTTTAAACAAACGTGTTTTAAACAAACAAATATAACAAAATATCGACCGATAAAAAATATTACCAAACAGAAATTATTTATACATGCATATATACAAAGTTAATCAAGGAATATCCAAAAATATATAATCAAATTAAAAAAAAACTAGAAACAAGTCAACATTTAATAAATAAATAGACATTATTAAAAAGATTAAAAGGTAAAATTTAAGGCGACGACGAGAATAAAATGTAGTTTGTTTTGTTGGTGTGGTGCTGTGAAGCGAAAACAAACAAACACATTACACAAACTAGTAAGAAGTTGCAAGAATGGTAGTCAGTCACTTACCTACAATTAAATTACTCTCAGGGCCCTAGCTTACTTATAATCATTAACTCAACTCACTTACCTACAAATTTGAATTTCTACATTTTAGGTATTTTATTCAACATATTTTAGCTTTTTTTATTTTTTTTTAAACTTTTCAACTAATGTTAAGCCCGAGCCTACCTACGATTGTTCAACTCATCTCAATCCCTAACTTACCTATGAATTAAATTAAGTTCGGTAAAGAAAATAGAAAGTTGAAGAGAAACATAACAACAACGACACCGAATGAATGAATGTTGTGTATGTGTGTGTTGTATTGATGTGTGTGTGTAAATGTGCGGGCGTGTTCTCTCCAGAAACTTCATCACTCACTACGGACGAACCTCCATTGCACCGATCATCATCTGACACGCATCGATGGAATGAATTTGACCGGATACTGAATAACACTAAATTGGAAAAAAATTAATTCATTAAAATAAAAAAAACAAACCATTAGAAAAATTAGGCAATTTATCTTATTTAATGATATAATGAATGAATACAATGAATCAATGAATCAATTAATGAAGGAATAATTTGAAAGATAGTGATAAAATGAATGCCCACCACTGCCCACCTCTCATCATTCTGTAAACAAGTTTTTTTTAATTAGTGAAGTAGTAAATCAAGGAACAAAGGAACGAACAAATAAATGATTAACTGAATGATTGGTTGAATGAATTAATTAACTAATTAGTTAATCAATCAATGATTTAGTGAATGAATAGAATGAATCAATTAATTAATGGAGGAATAATTTGAAGGATTTGAAAGAATGAATGAATGAATGAGAAAATAAAAAAAAGAAACTAAGCCATACTTCAAAAAACGTCGTTGTTGTTTTCTTCAAATTGTCATCGGAACGATCATCATGAGACCATCATCTGAAACGTGCTGACGCCCACCACAGCCCACCTCTTATCATTCTGTAGAAAAGTTATTTTTATTAGCTTAGTAGTAAATCAAGGAACAAAGGAACGAACGAATAAATGATTAACTGAATGATTAAATAATTAGTTAAAAGAATGAATAGAATGAATTAACGTCAATTAATGGAAGAATAATTTGATAGATCGAGTGAAAAAAAGAATGAATGAGAAAAATAAAAAAAAAAAGCTAAACCTTACTTCAAAAATCGTCGTTACTGTACTCCATTGCACCGACCACCACAATCAGGTCGGCACACAAGATTTCATCCAAACTTCTGAGTGTCAGTCGAACAGCCAACTCGCTGATTCTTCCTACACCACCATCACCATACGTAAATCATCATGAGATCAGTATCTGAAACGTGCTGACTCCCACCACTGCCCACCTCTCACCATTCTGTAGACAATTTTTTTATTAGCGTAGTAGTAAATGAATGTTAGAATCTTAGAAGCGAAAAATTGAAAAAATGGAAATAATGACAAATAAATAATATCTGAAAATAATAAAGAGATTAAAATGAAAAAAAAATTACCGTCGTCCATGCTTTCAGGTTCCTACGTTGTCCTCCAAAACTGGTGCCACTCCTCCTCGAGATTGTTGTTGAAACACAGCCCGTGTTGATGGAGAAAGTGAAAATTCTCATCAGAAAGCTTAGCGGTGCTTGCATCTCAAATTGCTTAATAAAAATAATCCTATCTACCTATTCAATTACCTTAACTAATCTATATTAAATTGATAATGGTACGATAGTCGAAAGTCCCCCTTCATTCTCCCTCCTTGCACAGAGGTTCACCGACAGCCAGGGCACCGGATAGTAAACCATTGCCGTGCGGATAGTAGACTATTGCCGTGCGGATAGTAAACCATTTGCCGTCCGGAAGCCGTGCGGGTAGTAGACTATGGCCATGCCGCATAGTAAATCATTACCGTGCAGATAGTAAACCATTGCCGTCCGGATAGTAAACCATTGCCGGTTCACCACTGGCCACCAAGGCTTACCTCTGACAAGAGACTTCGAAATTCAGAGTCTATCGGTTATCGTACCCTCAACTTACCTATTCATTACAATTAAGCCCTAGCTTACCTAAAATTACAAAACTCAAGAGCCCAATTCATTGGCCAATCGGCACCCACCCCACCACCTACGTAATGCCTTGGGCTCCAACTTAGTAATAATAATATAAAACTTAAACCCTAAACCTGTTAATGAGTATGTTACAACGTAGCCTTAACCTACCTATTCATTACATTAGGGCCCTAGCTTACCTAAAATTACAAAACTCAAGAGCCCAATTCATTGGCCTTTCGGCACCCACCCCACCACCTACGTAATGCCTTGGGCTCCAACCTAATAATAATAATGTAAAACTTATAATTAACCTACCTTTCGATACACTTACAGCGTTTTATTTTACATTACAAGATTGTTCCTAGAATTACATTATTGCCCTTAACTACCTATGAAATTAAATTACTCTCAACCTTAGTAATAATAAATTAGAATGTGCAATGAAAATAAAATTACGCTCAGATACTAACATATGTGTTTATTTATGTATTTGTGTGTGTGTGTGTAATACGCTGATGCGTGTAATGTGGGTGCAAGAAAAAATAGAAGCGATAAACTTACGCGCCTACCTATTCAACTACATTAGTGTTGGATGCTTCCTATCTATCCTACCTACAATTAAAATTATGCCTATCTAATCTACCTATATAGCTACGTAATGTAATTGTGTGTGAGTGTGTGTGCGTGAGCATTCTTACTTAATGTTAAATTACAGAGAAAAAAGAATAAAACGTATTCCAGCCAGGCGTGTTTTCTTTTCCACTGAGTGAACGAACGTAGCTTGACATCTTCCATGATGAACTCCTCTAGAAGCTTCAACCTGAATTGAATGAATAAAATGAAAAAATCTTATTTATTTAATTAATTTAAATGAAAAAAGATAAACGAGCCGCGGTGAAACCCGCCAGCCGGAAAAGCCAGCCAACTGGCAAAAAAATGAACCGCAAAGAAACCGT